AACAGTAAATTACATGTATTTGCAGACAGTTTTCCTATCTGTAAAAACTGAGTTAAGATACATTAATGAAATTTTACAGCTTCAGGGTACAAAAAGTAAGGGTAATCTGTTTTTTGTGAAGACACTAAGGTTTACTGTGGCCTTTTCCATTATGATAAAAAATAACTGGTATCAGTGATAGTTTGTGTATGAAATATAAATTTTGGAAACATGATTTGTGTCCCAGCAAAATTCCTCAATTTCCTGCAATGGCTGTGGACTATGAGCTGGATAATATCCCAGCTGAAAGTAATTCCCTGCCTGATATGATTTGGATTCATAGTAACCAGTACACTTTAGCAGACAAATGTTTGTGTGCTTGACAGACATACAAATATGGATACATATGGTATGTTTAAATGTAATTAGCGCTAATAGTGAATCAAACATTTCATTTAGTGACATTACTGTTATTATCATTTTGGTAGTGGCAAGCAAGGCTTTGTAAGATGTTTAGTATAGCAAACATGCAGGGCTTTAAGAAATCAAAAAGTGGTAAAAGATTATTGTAAACACATTTAATTAAAAGAAAGATACTGGATAGATACTCATCTTGTGTGACATTTTAACAACAAAACCAAATGTGGATTTCAATTTGCATTTGAAGATTTGACAGATCCATTATATTTTTGGGGGCATCTTTTTAAATGTAGGTTAAAAAAAAAAAAAAAGTTTGTGTTGGAGATGCATGGTGAAAATGTCTTTTCCATTTGGTTTGTGTTAAAGGAAAAACAGTCTGGTTGGGGGTAGGGTGGGCCATCTTTGGGATTCAGAACAGTAAGGTCGGTGTAATAGGCAGGTCCATTGGGGGAGTGGATACAGCATCATAATGACCAAGCCAAATATTTGTCTAGTCCATATTCTGAGAGCATAATGAAGTCCTTTTACAGAGGCATCATTGGAATCTGGACAGTGATTTTATGCCAAAAAGAGCAGGTTTCAGTCTGCCTGCTGTGCTGTTTCTACTTAGGCTAACCCAGTCTCTGGTGGCTCAGTCCAAATTCACCGTTGTGCCCGGAATAAGAATGGCTTTTGGCTCTATTTTATGATGATATCCAGAAAATCGGAAATTGAAAAAGGATTTGACTGGCATACATGGGCATCATGGGCTTTACTTGTGTATGTCTAAACAGTAAAGTAAAATTAATTATAAATGTTTCTGCTAATGTTTAAATCTTAAAAAGGTGGAGTCTGTACAGTGGAATTTCACAGCACACAATCTGCCAAATTTACTCACATATGCATCATGAAGTTACACACGTTTACAGTACAGTACAGTACATCTTCTATGTACTCACACAGGTGTGGACTTCTCTGAGTGTCAGGCCTTTCTAATGGTGCCAAGTTGGTCCAAAGTCAGCTCACGGGGCCTGCCAAAAAATGTGTCAGGAATGAGTTGGATAAAGGTCCTACAAGAGGAATCAGTATATACACAGTACATATTACTGTCACAAATACATTGTTTTGTTGCTAAACATGGCACCAATCCATAACTTCAGAAAAAGACTGTATGCTATATTTATGTCACTTATAAATTCATGTCTGACTAGTGCCCCTACACAGGTTATTCTGGTGTTATAGTGAGTTCTCAACCTGCTTATTATGGTTGTGGCACCAGTTTTGGGGTTGGTGTTTGCATTGTTGTACCAGCACTGGAAATGCTTGTGGTGAAGGAATGACAGGGGAAGAGAAAGGGAGCTTGAGATGCAGGAGAGCAGATGAAACGATGAAGACAAAAGGAGCTGTGTTAACATGCAGCAAAGCGTAAAAGTTACAGGGACAGAAATAGAACAAATTAAACTCAAATCAGGCATTGTTATACCACATTCTTACAATCCTTACACAGGTCCTTACACAGGAAGGAGACAGGACTAAAGAACAAATAACTGGATGATACCACACCACCTGTAAAAAAAAAAAACTCAGACCACTAAGACAGTCACTCTGCACATTTGACTTGACACAAATTCCTAGAATGAACAGTACACTTGTGTGCAGAGGAACTAAGAGAGACAGCATTGTCTTCACAGCCACCAGCTCTACAACCTCAGCATGAAAACAAACCTAGACAGAGGTAACAATTTCCTTGTTTGGCCACAAGGTTATTTTTATTACAACACATGACTTATTTATTTGAGAATAAAAAGGTCTATTACAATACCAAATTAAGTATTTTATGAACTTTTAATTATTAGCGTCAGTAAATTATGGAATATACAGTTATAGTTAAAATATAAATACGACCAACCAATGCCAATCACAGTTTTCTTTGATATGGGTTTGTAAAACACTATACTAGCTGTTTATGTATGTGTACACTAAACATGCCACTGTAAACATTGATATCCAAACAGCCAAAGTTGCTGTTACTGTGCTGTGCATCAAAGAACAGGCTTGTGTCCTCACTAGGCCCAAGCTGCAATTTGGGCACAAGGCGTGGCTCAACACCCATTGAGTGTCCGCCCAGTGCACCAGTAATGACCCCTTCCCTTTGGGGAGCGTTTGATCTGGGCTGCCTGTGTGTTTCAGCAGGGCCTATTTCTGGAGCATGGGGGGGATAAAGGGAGCTTTCAGACTTGGTGCCAATGACCATAATCAAGCACCTTTAAGGGGTGGCAGTGAGCGTGCTAGCAAGCTCTAAGTTTGTAATTTGGACGAAGGAGGCCGAGTTGCTGTGGCTCATTGGAGGTGCATAGCGGGGTCGGGTGGCACCCATCTCCAGAACACAAGGTATAAAGTGTGTGAAGGGGACTGTAAAGGAGGATGTTAATGACTTGGCTCCATTAGCACCCAACCCTAAGGCCAACTGACCAATGGCCTTAGACTTAAATGCAGAAAATTCTGCAAGTTTGTGACACACGTCTGTCATGCAAGGCTAAAGTTACAGATTCACAGTCCATGAGTCAGTTCAAAGAGCAAACACTCGTCATTAACTCCTATTTAACTGTGCACTTGCAGCACGCTAAGGTGAAAAAGTCACAGTATACTCCAGATAATTAATAATTAAAAATCATTTTAAAAAGTAAATTATTTAAGAGATCTACAGTAGCTTGGATACCCATAATAAGGTACTTTAGTTTGAGGCATTGGGGGGCAGCTCAAACATACCATCTCTGTTGTTGTTTTTTTTACAATGATTTTATGTTTCAAAGTGTGATGAGCAGAACTTTAGTTGTCTCTGTAAACTAAGACTTCTGTCTCTTCTCAGACATCTTATGTTAAGTTCTCTATAGCTGCACCACCCATGACTTCCTTTGGTCTGTTATTTGTTTCTTATCCTGAATATATATGTGGCCTGTGGTCAATTGTGACGGTTAAGCACTATTAAAACATCTGAATGTGTATTTTAACACAGGCCCACCTCAAAGCAGATGTCAGATCGTAATAGTTCCTGTGGCCTTGGCAGACCTGATCCTTCACCAGGCCATGACCTCCCCTCAGATCACGATAACCAACTCAAACTCCACATGCAGTGTTGGAACGTTACTCAAAAATACATATTCTGAATACAAATTTTGAGTAACTGTTATTCTTCCATTTAAATTAAGACAAATACATGACCATACTTCAACATGCAATTTTGACTTTGAACTGCGCAGTATTAGTGAGAAAAGCAGAAAACACAGCTTTCGTAGTGAGTGCATGTGTGATTTTATTATTTTTTATTTTTTTGTCTCTGTTTAGGCATACGTTAAGGCATAACAAAAATAAAGTTGTTTATAGTTGTAGGTTTTTTACACTATGATATAGTGCAACTCAGTGTAAAAGTATTCCAAGTATTCAGAATACAGTATTCCGATTAGACTATGTATCAGAATATGTTCCAAAATACATTTTAATGCAGGTATTCAGAAGTAGTAGTATTCAGTCTGTAACTAAATACATTTTTAAGGTATTCTTCCTATCACTGTCCTCGTTACCTTTAACAAAGAAGAGACACTTTTACTCATGACCTATAGACTACTTGGAAGATTCATAAAATGATCAACTTTAGATTTTCTCAATAAATGTATGCTTGCATTGCATTGTTCCAGCAGCACAGGGTTATCACACACTATATACCTAGCACTGCAGTTGTTTGGACTGAAAAGTAGAACAACTCAGTAGACCTAAGTACAAATATGGACCTAGGTAGATCTAGGAGTTGGACTATGTTCTTGATTGGTGATGAGCTATGATTGAGAAATGTAATGGCTAGATAAAGTGAGAAAACAGCATGTGCTCACAAAAATAAGTATAAGTGCTTGTAAATAATTGCTTGTAAATAATTCTAAAATAATTGGCACAGTGCAAAACTGACCAAGAATCCATATGCGCAATTATTTCAAAATTAAAATGCAACCTGCCATTTCAAAGAATCAATGCCGCCGTTTAGCGCCACATCAGTAACCACCATTTCGACCTAAAGGACGTCTCTGGTGGGTCAGTCAGTTCCCGTGTTTGCAAAGCTGTCCATCACACGTTTTACACATTTATTAGGGACATCCGTCTGTGTAGGTACCTCCGGCTCCATGTGGCCACCCCATAGACTGTACATCAGCTGTACGCGTGCAGTTCCTCGGCGCCACCGCTGGGTTTGTAACTTGATACTGTGCCGCGGAGCATTCGCCATGGCTTTACTCACAGAGGCCTATTTAAAAAGGAAAGGGGTGAATACGACGCTCCTGACTCTGTAACCTCGTCCAAGAGAGTTGTTCTTTCTCACCGGCCTGCGCGTCACTCAAATGGGATCGGCATAAATGAATGAAACACACTGGAATATCGTCAGACAAAGGCGCAGGGAAACTCTGTCCAATCTTTTTGTCACACGGATTTTATGTCGGGCTTGACAGGCACTTAAACATGAGTTTTTACCTCTGGAACTTCTTGTCAAACTTCACTCATGCATAAGACGGCCGCCGGTGTCTTCTGCCCCTTGGCAACGGAGTCACGCTGTGATTAACGGATCCGGTTTTTGACTGCCAGGACAAATGAATACAAATGAATTTAGGCATCCGAAGGAGAGATTGCAGAACCTCTCATCTAGGCACAAAGTGAGTATCATCTTTGAATGCATGCACACACACGTCTGAGATGCTAGAGAATCAGAGAAGATGCGTCCAGTTGGAGCGGCTCCAGCTGATTTGAAACTCCACTTCTACTTATAGGCCTATTCTCCATCAAGCAACTTTATCTATGATTATATTATCGTTATACACATGACAGAATTAGATTTTAATTAATTATTAAAAATATAATTGTCATAAATATACTAATATAATATAATATATATACTACTGTATATATACTTGAATATTATAATAATATATTTTGATACAAACTGACAAAGTAACAGACTATAGCATTTACATAATCACAAATAAATACATCATATATATATATATATATATATATATATAATATATATATAGAGAGAGAGAGAGAGAGAGAGAGAGAGAGAGAGAGAGAGAGAGAGAGAGAGAGATTTTTTTTACTATAGACTTAGTAGTTTTACAATAGTATTACACTATAAAAAAATGATCAGTGCATTTGGAGGAACCTACTACTTCCAAACTAACATTAACATTATAATCTATCCTTGTTATGGTCTTTTAATGGAAAAGCCACTGGATGTCGCTATTTATGAATCTCCCTCCCACCCCCTTCCTATACAATAACTCACATTGTGTTAGTTGTAAGCCAATTTCTTTGATGATGGTGAGGCTTTTGCCTGATAACAACTTTAATAACAAAACAGCTACACTGTACTGTATAACACACAATGGGCATAATAAACAATAAAAAAACTTTTCTTCATATTTGTTTTAGTATTGTAGTAATTTGTTTAGTTGTTATTTCATCTATTTGTTTTACCAAGTAATAGCTATAATGTTATGAAAGTAACCACGGACCATATTTAACTGACTACTAAAACTAACATATGCTAGACTTCGGCGAAACCAGTGTACAGAGCACCACTATAGCCCCTGTCAGGGTCTCCTCATTCACAGGAATTTTCCACTGAGAGTGTGTCTGGGGGGAATGAATGAGAAGTCAAAGCTTGTGGAAAGAAGCTGAAAATGTAGGCAGTTGGTGTGTTGGTGTAGAAATAGTAAACTCTCGTCTAATATATTTTTTTCTGCCAAGTACTTTTTCCACTTTTTCTGATGTAAGCTTTGGATTTGATATTGTTCTGCTGGCCTGTGTTTTGTCCACTCAGCTGAGCAGAGCAGTGAATTCCCAGAGGAAGACATGTTGTAGTTCAGTGTTTTAGTTGAAAACCACACCAGACAGGGTTGGTGGACTTCTAGTCTACAGAGACAACACTACCAACTTTAGAAACATTAGATCTAACACGAATTTGTATCTTAACAATGAATGCATTGTCATGTACTGTAGTAGGACAAACCTCAGTGGTGAATCTGGTGATGGAATAAATTGTATTTTTGTCTCATTCACTGCACATTTGCACAATAGGTTTCAAATCAACAGAGGACAATAATAGCAACTTAAAAATAATAACATATGTCACTAACCAAAACTTTTTTTTTTTTTGTATGTAACAATCATGCTTTCTGTTTCATTTATAGCTCTTGTCTTCACACATCTTCATCCTTACATCTTTGAACAACATGGCTGAAACACAATTAACGGTTACGCTGCAACTATAGTAGTTAATGCATATGTTTAAAATAAAAAAAAGACACAGCTGAGCACATTTAACATTGCATTTTAGTAGTTACAGAGTTGGCCACAGAGATGTATTTGGAGTCCTTTATCCACACACTGCCCTATAGCTACAGCTGTTACATACATTTCCTCCTCCAGCGTGTGTGGATGACCTCTAATGGTAAACAGTGGCTTCTCTTCCTGTCACTAGATCTGGCTCCCCTGCTGAGCTTCCCAGTCCTTGTGCCAATCACTCTCCCCCTGCACACCTGGAGGCAGTAGCTACTTTTGTGATTTATAACCACTGTAGTTAAGGGGTAGTTATTTGCACAGTTATGTTTAGAGAGACGTTCAGAAAGTTTTTACAAACTCTATTATCTTGAACAGTGAACATAATATTGAGGAATAAAGCAAAGCAATAGCTATGGTCATATTTGGAAAATTAAGGGCAGTAAATATGCAGTAAATATGTAGATTGGGGAAATATTAATACATTTCTGCATTAGTTGTTGTGTCATTGACCTTGTTCACATGCACACCAAAATCTAATTATAATCCTATTTCTGGACCTTTAAGATTACATAAATGGCATGTCAAATGCTGAATCTGATGTGAGTAATCAAAGAGACCATGATCAGATTCATCAAATCATTATTTGGCTTTTGTCATTTAAATAATCTTATTTTTTTTTAAAAAAAAATAAATATAAATAAATAAATAATATATATATATATATATATATATATATATATATATATATATATATATATATATATATATATATATATATATATATATATATATATATATATATATATATATTATATATATATCATATCATACATTTATTTGATCAAATATGAAGTGTGCATGTAACCACAGTTGCAGTGGTGTCAGCGCCACTTTAAGCTTCTGATGTCTAATTTTGACTTTTTCTCATCCAACAGGAGAGCCCTATTGCTCTGCACCATTATATATTGTACTTGTTACTTGGGTCTTACACAAGTCCACCCTGAAGGTAAGATGTCTTTTACAATTACTTTCAAACATCAATTTCATACTTCCCCCTGTCTGAAAAAAAAGTTTTTCCTTAAACACAATACTAGTGTAATCACACCATTACACTATTGTACATGATCTATCTTATTACAGTAAAAAGTCTTTACTTTACATACCCATACATTGCCTGCATTTCACTTGTGTTTTGTTTGTTTTTGTCTAATAATAACAGTACAATAAATAGTCAACAACTATACTTCTCATAATTAGAAACTTACGGATTGCAGAGTTTCAAAATATCATAAAAATGGTACTGTTCCTTCAATTATTAGTTGTTCTTATTTTTACTATATCTAAATGTTTTAATTAGAACGGGTTAGAAAAAAAATATCGATAAACTCAAAGACATAATCCTCCAAAAAGCACATTGCAACCCCCTTTGTCACATTGGAGTGACTTGGCACGGAGTAAAGCCATAAACCTAAGCCATGTGTACTTATGTACTGTATATGGAAAAACTCTATGGCCAATGCCTGTGTTATAGCTGTACTTGGAGCAGTCACTTATACAGTTCAAGTTACTTCCCCATAAAACAACATATACTGTACAAATGTGATTGAGTTCCATAGCAGAATAATTATGTGTGAGTAACATGATAATTTGCTCAACTTTGTTAAACTCAATTGGTTTGTGTCATTACAAGTTCAAAGGCCGGGCCAATTGAAAGGGCTAATGAGGCAAGCATGGCAGGATCTAAACAAAGTCTTTGTTTTCAGTGACTTACACAGATGGCAACTGTTGAGGCATCCCCTCATCTTTCTCTGTTGCTCTCATCTCATCAACATTTCTCTGCACTGCCTTTCTATTATTTCATGGCATGGCTACACATCCCATTTGTCAAGGCATAATGACCACAGGTCAGAAAGACTAGGAACAGTGGCCTAAGTCCTGCAGAATACACATGAGGACACTCAGTTCGATACAGAACAGCCACTGTGGTCACTGTTCTAATGTAGTGAATGTTAGTTGTTATTTGTTGACATGAAAACATGTGAAAGTTCACCTAGCATAGTCTGTTATCAAAAAAGCAAGGCGTTTTGTTTAGTAGACCATGTGTCTTCCTTTCTTTTTTAGCATTCATTGAGAAGTAAAACGTTTTGTACACTCTCCTTGGCAGCAAGGAGGAAAAAAAGTTTAAAAAGGCACCATCTGTGCTTATGGTTGTTCATATAGCATTTGGTATGGATGTATCATGTGTTAGTACCAGTTCCACTATAAATTATATAGACCAGCTGCCTTAAAATTATGGAGTGACATTTTAGCATCCTGTCCTGCTGATATTTAAAGCTAAGCCACTACAGCATCTATTTACAGCTTTTGCTCTCAGAAAAATAACGACGGCCACACTTTGTCCCTATGGTCTTGTAAGTCTAACATAGATATGTTAACTGGAGCTTTTGTCTTTTTCAGATGTGGATATTCTCCAGAGGTTGGGGCTCAAGGGAGAGAAATCACGCACGATACCAGCTGGGGTCATCCCCTTCAGATCAGGGATCATCCTCAATCAACGAGCCCACATTGAGGCTTCACTGCCCTCCATCTTCTCACCAGCCATCTGGCCCAATGTGGCACTGGTCCTGAGCATCCGCTCACACCGCGTCAACAGTGCCTTCCTCTTTTCAGTGCTTTCAGGCCAAAAGAAGCTTCTTCTCGGTCTACAGCTTTCACCAGGTAATCTGGTTCTTCACACAGGACCAAACATCTCTGTGACACTGCCTTATGATCCCCATGATGGGCAGTGGCACCAGCTGGCAGTGGGGATTAATGGACAAAAAGTAACTCTTTATGCCTCCTGCGGAGAGCAGAGTGTTCATGCAGACTTGGGGTGGGACATTAATGACAGACTGGCTCATGGGCTGCAGGGTTCTTTCCTCTTGGGGAGGACAAGCCAGCAGCAGGCCTCAGCTCATTTTGAAGGAGCAATTTGCCAGTTTGACCTGGTCCCCTCTGCACAGGCAGCTCATAACTACTGCAGGTACATTAAGAAACAGTGCAGGGAAGCTGACACTTTCAGGCCTAACCTTTCTCCTTTACTGCCTATCTTACAACAAGAATCAAATGTCACCGCTACTGCTGCATCTGCTAAAGGTAGTGGCCTGGAGACCTCTAGAAAACCTCCACGACTCAGCCTGGCTCGGAGTGTTGCAGCTGCTGCCTCTGCTGTTAGACTAGTGAGCTCCACACCAACGATAAAGCCCCTTTCTACACCAATGCTTGGGACTGTGATGCCTGTCACAGTGCAGCCGGGGCTTACTATACCACCTCGCAGGGACAAGACTGAAACAGTTACTGTACCACTCAGGATCAAATCACCACCCACAAACCCTCCAACCCCAAAACACTCTCCCTCAAAAACTCCAAATGATAAACCATCAGCACTCCCTCCTGCAAAGTCCACTACTCCAATTAATCCAAAAAAGTTGAAAACATCAGACAAGAAAAAAACTACTGCTCCAATTATGACCAGCATCAAACCATCAAAGACTTTATCTAACAAAGATGTTGTCCCAAAGAAACCACAACCAACTAAGAAGACATATCCCCAACCAAAGACGACTCCTGCAAAAGCTACTCCATCAAAATCTCCTGTCACAGTTTCTCCATCCAGACTACCATTACCCACAGCTAGCTCATCAAAACCAACAGTCTCCAAAACATTAACTACTAAACCAGTCACCAAACAGGTCATCAAGCCAACCCAGCCTAGTAAGACCAAGGCCCCTTTAACTCCCAAACCATCCAAACCTCCTTACATTACCATGACACTACCTGGAACAGATGGCTTCCAAAGCTGGGAAGTGCCACCCACTCAATACTCTATGCTTCCAGGACCTGCCGGACAGAAAGGAGAAGTAGGCCCACAGGTGAGAACCATATGACAAATTTATCAGTTTGTTAAGATTAGCCTTTTACAACTAGAGAAGATATTATATCACTTTTTGTAGACATGCAGTTGCAGTTTGATTTTTTTTAACCCACATTCATCTCAGCTATGTTAATTCTGCATATTAATTAAGCTAGAGACCTACTGAAGGTATAAGAGAAAACTTCCATCCTTGCTTCTTCTATGCACAAAAACCTGCAGGCTGGGTGTGACGTGTTAGGTCTGACGCCTTACCGTCTCTACACCAGATTCCTGAGTCACAGCGTGTAGAGGCGGTTGCATGGCTCTTTTTAAAAGGGGGGTCAAGGGTCAGTGCAGTGAGTAAACATAATCATTCACTTTTCTAGTACAACTACTATGGCTGTGGACTAACACTTTTGCAGAGTGGAAAAGTAGAGCACTCTTTGTGATTTAGACAGGCAGTAGTGTGGGAAAGTACAATAATGCATAGTCAGTTTAGACAGTATGTGCCATTTCATATATTGTTCTCAGGTTTAGAAATAAACATCCATCTTGAAAAAAAAGGAAATAGCAGAAACCTTTAAGTAACTCACACAAAGTTGACTATACCCATGAATCTGATAGAATAAAAGGACACATTCTGCATGTTCACTGAATGCAGTGCCTCTGTAATGAGATGCTGAAAACATAATTTAATGTCATGAGCAAACAGGGACAGTCAATTTGATAAATGTCCCTTGACTTTTATCTGTTGTGACTCTTTCATTTCCTCTTGTATCTTGCATAAGTCTCAGTGTCTAGTCCTGGATAATTGACCTCCATAATGGCATTTACATCACATCCAAGTGCTGATTTGTGTCGTGTGCTGGCAGCATTTAAGACTCAGCCTAAAGCAAGCTAGAGAGGACACTGATAAGATTGTGTTTTCTTTAAGTATATTCAAGGAATACAGTATGGACCATCAGATTAACCATATTAATTGCATGTCTGTGTTGCCTTTATAATAAATAACACAATACAATATAATTTTACCCAACAGGTTAACATGGACAAATTATTTTAGAAATGGTTTGTTTTATATTTTTAAGTGCCATTGCCAAGAGTACTACTCGAATGTGAAGCTGAAATTGTTAAGACAAAGATCTGAAAGATGGTGTTAACATTAACACGTTTTAGACCTCCCTTGTGCCACCTGTAACTCTGATGGTGGTGTCAGCCATGAACATGCCAACTAATGGATTAACCAATTATATCCTCCAAAGCAGTACGTAAAGCAGATTAGAGAGTTCCTCATGTGTTTTCTTGTAGTGCAAGGAAAACAGGGATAATATAAAAGAGTAGCTATTGGTTTAGTAGTATATGTAGCCTAAAAAAATATCTTTAGAAAGAATACAGAACAGAGTATGGATTGCTGCATTTTAGGGAGCCTGTTTCAAAGCATAATAATTTCATATGAATTCATAGCATACAAAATTTAAAACATTCCTCAAAGAGAGCACCCATTTTGTTCATAGTAGCTTTGTAAGTAGTGACAGAAAACACAAGCTTTATTTTCCTTTACTTCTTCTTTTTCCTCTTTTTTGATTAAAAGAAAACAAATAAACACAGGGCTGATAAAACCACACAGGGGCATTGAGAAGTGCAGGAAATGACCTGTTATTTCTAGAGTTTCTATGGTTTCCTGCCAGTCAGGCACAGTACCTCCTGATGGATAAGGCTGACCTTTCATCACCTGAGGATGGAATTACTTCAGAGAGAAAAAGGTGTCACATTTTACCCTAAAGCCACTGAGCACACAGTTTTTGCTCAAAAAAGAATTATATTGTGGAAATACACATCATCTTAGACAGTTGTGCATTTGTAATTTCTGATAAACCAATAAGTTATGATAATTGTTTGAGGCTTTCCTCTCTTTCTCCAGGGACTGCCAGGACCTCCAGGGAAGCCAGGCCTGCCAGGCAAGAGGGGTCCAAGGGTGAGTTTTACAGAATTGTCATCTTGTCATTTCTTTTTGCATATAATATAGAGACAGTTGTAGATGTGAACTTATCAGATGATTGATTACAGGAAAACCAGACTGGTACATAATGAGAAAAAAACAACATTCATTGCAGAGCACACTCTGTAGAACATTCCCTATGCATTCAGATAGAGCATATTCAGCATTGGCCTGTGAGCACTGACCTCCCACCCCTAAACATAAACAGGAAAGCTCCTAAAAGATGTCCTTTCAAAAGGTTGCCTGTGCCACGGGATGCCTATAAAAGTGCTGTAAACAGACAGGGAACACATGGACAGAGCTTCTATGTGACTAGGACTTTCCCTTTAAGTGCACTAACATTTTACTTCAGAATACATGAGCTATGAAGCATTCTGCCTTCATACATGTATTATATTAGTAATTATCGTACTGGAAGACAAAGTTTTCTCCTATAATATTATTTAATTAATCCTGGCCATTAACTAATGGATAGGTTTGTAAACACAAATGCATGAGACCAAGCCAGCTGATTAAAACAGTCTGATTAAAACCATTAAAACATCACACAATGAACAAGTTTATACAAATATAAATTTTACATTAATCCTGAATATAGACATGTTGGTGCTATTTTATGTAGAACAACTTACTCATAAGAGTAACATGTGTAAGAATATTAAAAATAGAAAAAATGTTTGAAAAAATAATACATACCTCCATGACTGTCTGGTCGGCATAGTTTTTTGACTGTGGTTGAGTGATGTCCATGAATCCAGAATACAAACTATTTCAATACTTTTTCAATATCAGACATGAGTCTGGTCATCAGTGAATCACCCAGTTTTCAAATGGGTGTGACTGACAGGTGGATTAGCCAATCAGGTACACACATGGTATCAGTATCAGAAAAAATTAAGAAAACATAAATCTCACAGGAAAAATGGAAAATAACAGAAAAATATCACAGATTTCTGAAGAATCAAGGAGTAAAGCTCTAAACGTCTAAATGTTAATATGAGGTGAGATAAATAATTTTGCATAGGTGACCAATGAGCTTCTTCATTACACATGCATCACTTAAAAAAAAAAACTGATTGCATGATCACGTTTGGCCGGGCTTCAGATGCAACAGAGGGCGTGGGGACTGAACAGATATCAATCAGTCATTCTGAATTTGCCAGACAAGCATGCTGGTGGTTCAGAAATGCCTTTGTTAGCTGCAAACTGTGAAGCAATGAGAATGGCATGTGTCAGTAGAACCGATTGGTTTGCAGATAGCAAACAGTGAAATCTCCCCCTTAATACAATAACAGTGCTGTTTTTATTTGGCTTTAACTTGGGCCTTATGGTATATTTAACCTCAAGCTTCTGCACAAAAGTCTATTCCTGCAATGAGTAGGCCATGTATGTGGGTTTGTTTATGGATTTCCTATATAAAGTGTGGGGCAGACTTTGAGGCTTTCTTGTAAACAAAAGCGTTAATCAACTTTAATTGCTGCTGCCATATGTGTGTGTATATATGCACAAACAAACATGCTCAGTTATGTGCATCAACTTAAAAACACATGTTGGCCAAGATTTGGCCAGATAACAATATGGCTTCAATTTAGGTACACACAGTTTTTTTATTGAAGCTATAACATAGTGATTAAATTCACAGGTGACTTCTTTAATTTTAGGCATTGTCATCTTTGTTTGATAAAAAAAAAAAAAAAAAGTAAGTCAGCATTTTACTGGAAAGACAGCCCTAAGAGCCCTGTCAGAATTACTGGAAGTCCACATGATGACACAGAGCACTATTGAGTCTGCCGGTACCTTGAACCCATGAACCTTAACCTCTGATCATGCACATGTTAGTGTGAGTTGCTGTCACCATGGCAGTGGGCTTATGTAGTAGGATCTGTTGGGTGGAATTAGGTCCAGGAATCCATGAGTCTATTTGTAGGGTTCAAACGCAGAAGGTGGTAGATGGGTGTGAGAGTTGCTAAGTATTGCATCTACTGTGGGTAACTTGGGTTGTATGCATATATAAATAAACACTTATCCTGCAGCTTTAAAATGTTGCACTGTACCAATTTCTACTGCACTGCCTCACCTGTATACACTGTTTACACTTATCCCAGGCGCTTTATGAGAGACTTGTTGGAAAGTTTAATGAGCATAGGTGCTGAGGGTATTGTGCTGTGGCAGATGCTTTGGCACCAGATTCTTTTAAAGGTCTGTCCTGGCTTTGGTATAAATTGTGTATATTGAAGAGAAATATAATGCAAGAAAGTAAGCAGCCAAGACATACAGCTCATATAGTTCATTCCCTTTTCAGGGATAATACACTCTTAAAATGTTTGGCACAAAATATGCTTCATTTCCAACTTATTGCATTAATTTGTATTTGCTATTTGAGTTATTTTTATTCAGTTTTGAAGTCCATTTCTATATAACTGCTATAAACCTTTGGTGCACTGAATAAGTAGCTAAGTGTATACCTCAGTATAGTTTTATGGGTCTTCTCAGTGCACACTGCACTTTATTCAGCCTAACTACTTTTGTTATTAAAGAGGATTAATGCTGATTTTTTTCGTGACTTCAAGCTGTTGCTTTTGTTAATTGTTAATGAGACACTATGCTTGAAGTTTTTGGCACAGTATCATACATAAGGCCATTCTTCTTTTTACAGCGTTGGAATGCTTAAATGTTCTTTATGAGACTCAGACATTGTTTACAGCACCACTTGTTAAACATGTTAAAAGGGCCAGTCTGACATACTTAGTGTGGGAACATAACCTCAGGCTGATGTCAGTCGGTTGAATTTAAAGCAGCAAGTGTATTCTGCAGAGGAAATTATTATTAAGAAAAAAAGTTACTTTGTTACATTTACTCAAGTAGCTTTTGAAAAAAGTATATCAGAGTAGTTCTCTGACACTACATTTAGTTCTACATGAGTTAATATAGTAGCACTTATGAATAAACATTTGGTTACGCTTGCCACTGTCATTAAGTGGCGAAAGATTTGTGTTGACAGTAAAAACATTTGCATTTTTTGAACCTGACCCTCAGTGGGGTCTAAAAAATCCATAAACAGAATCTAATTTATCCTAAAACTAGTACTAGATATTGAGACTTTTAGATAAATTACTATGTTGTTACATTATGTTGTATAAAAGATAAATTTTTAATGGTATTATATAATGAGATATTATTATATATATTTATTTATTCCTTCTTTCCCTTAATTCTGTCATCTATTCTTTAGATATAGATATAGAATGTCTGAATCAATTACCCGATTATTACTTTTAAAATGAATCCAAATGAAAATCAGATGTTACATTCAAACATTCACTCGAAAAGTAGTGAACATTTTTACTCTTGCTATAGTTATTATTTGAATTGCTACTTTTTACTTCCACATATAAGATAGATAGATACTTTATTGATCCTGAGGTAAATTCAAGTTTAGCTGCAGCAACGCTTCTAAGTCGCCTTTGTGTCAAAGGCACCGTTTAACAGGAGGACTCGTCAGGTAGGGTCAGTAGCTCAATGGTCAGGACAGTTTGAGAAGAGGAAGAGCCAAAATGTCCCTCTTCTGTGTTCTGCAGGATCACAGCAGCATCCAGGGGAGCCAAGTGAACACAACAGGAAAGGCTCATCTAACCCTCTCCCTCTGTTCTGTTGTTTTGGTTGGTGATGAAATGGGCCATTCCCTCAAAAGGTCTCTGAGACTCTGGAAGGTCCTTAGCTTTATCGCCATGGATACTGAAAAAATAAATAGCTATCACACAATCAAACAGTCCTTACTTGTGTCCTTTGAATTGCACATTCTTATTTGGTTAAAATACCATGATATAATGTCAAAAAACTAAGCTAAAGCTTATTTTTTTACTCTTATTTGAGCAACAAAATTTTCACCTACCCACCTCCACTTTCTATTATATTGTCATCATTTTGAAATGGTGACTGTTATGCTATAGACATAGTAGTTGTGTCTAAAAGTACATTTTAATATTTGATTCAACCTCATGTTTAAGATTTCCACACTGCTTTGTGGTTTAAAAGTAAGTGTTTTTTTCATCTGATAGCCCTCAGCCTGTATCCACCCAGCTCCACTATAATTAGGCACCTGTTTGCAACCAAGCAGCACTGTCCCATTATGCCAGCCCATGCCAGTCAGTGTACTGCCCAAAATGTGGTTGGCCACAGGGTTAATTTGGAAGCATGTAATTCTAGTTTGTTTTAGTTTATTTAGGGCACAACAGTGGGCCTTAACGGTGTCTGGGCAGTGGTTCTCAAGGAAATGCCAGCTCCACACAAACTAAAAATGAAAGGAGAGATGACAGAGTGTCAGTGAAAAAATGCTTTTTATTGGTGTTTTCTGTTGTGTCATTAAGTCCTATTGAAGCTGTGTATTTACAGTATAACAAGTCAAGTCTGTGCACATATCTCTGAATGAATCAGCCTAGACTGTCATCAAAGTTTCCTTGAGCAGGAAATGGTAGTCAGAGAAAAGAATGGTGTCTTGTCTGCTAATGGTGAGTGTATCTGTATTTGAACTTCTCTCAAAGGGTTTTTTGTTGAGCTGCACAACCAAACAACACAAAACCATATCTTCTATAAATTCTAAAAAGGTTCTCAGTCAGAATTTAATTTCATGTTTATATAAGTACATGAATTGACAGAGAGTAGTTGCAGTATTCTGGAGACCATCTTTAACCATTGTGCAGGTCTAAGGTTGCTGTACCAAGGGGAGAGCTGGACTGAGGTCAGAAATCTAGGAAAACATTATTCATAGACAGAGAAGGTGGAGAGATAAAGGAGCAACAGTGATGCCAGTGACGTGACCTGTGGTTCTCACTGTTAGTTCACAAGTTCTTTTTGGCCTGTGTGTGGCGTGAAGAATAATTAGGTTATTAATATTGCCAGATAATGAGTGAGCTATTTTTCTCACAAACTCACACAACTTGACAAATTCTATAGAATGCAAAAAAAAGTAAAAATAATAAATTAATATGAAAGTAATATTCTCTTCTACTATTAAGACTATTAGCAAAAGTGTTTGTTTTGCAACTGAAGTGTTTTGAGTCTACAGGGAACAAAAAAAAAAACCACAACCATATGGTGAAACAGCACTCCTGCACAGTGCCCCATTTTCCATAGGAATCTACCCCCAACTCTAAATACCTCACACAAAGTTGATGTATAGAAAAGTAGGTTAAAGAACTCCATTCCTCATTTTCCACACAGTAGCAAAGCTACACTTTGTGCTTGGCATCTCACAAAATGAAGATGAATTGAGCCTTTATCTGATTATGTTTTCTCTCTGTCTTTTTTGCAGGGAGACCCTGGTCCCCATGGAAACCCAGGCCCACCTGGACCACTGGGGTTGAAGGTAAACACAAATAACTGTCATGAAACAGTATTATAACACAAGCAACAATGGCAAACACACAATTCTAAACAAATTCCTTCAACCCTTTCTGGATTGTCTCCACCAGTGTATGTGCTGGTAACAATTCTTGACCTTTGTCTCTGTTTACTTGAGGAACACACAGCATGTGCCATACCCATATTTAAATGCATTTTAAAAATGTCTTCCATAAATGTCAACTGTGCAGCAGTGAGTCTTCACAGCTAACCCCTATTATTGCAATTCTGACCTCTTTAAACTTTAAAATGCTATGTTTGTCCTTGTCATCAGGTTAATATATACAAAGTTTTCTCCACTTTTATGTTTGGACTGCATTCTTCACCTTTTGTAACCCTTTTTGCATTTGTTCCCTTGACCTCTCAGGCAAGAGTGTAAATCAGACAGCAGTTTAAAAAAGTGCCAAAATATATGTATAAAATGGACTCCTTATATATCCTTTCAGATTTTTTATTTTTTTGTTTGTTTCAGCTGTAGATAGGGCTGCTCAATTATGGAAAAAATCATTATCACGATGATTTTGGTCAATATTGAAATCACAGTTATTCAAATGATTATATTTTAGTTACATGATGCATTTATTCAACATTTCTCTCTTGCAAAAAAAAACAAAAACAAAAAACATGAAAATAAATATAGGCTACAAATAATATACTTTAGGGCAGTTTTGCAATGTATAAAACATAAAATGAATAAAACATACTCTGAACATGAAATAAGGCATAGAAAAACATAAATGTATCCAAAATCAAGTATATATACAGTCGTTCTACAATCTCTATATTTAAGAAATAAAATAAATATACATATTTATATATTTTTTTAAATCCCAAAATAAACTTTGTTAAGCTTTAAATGATTTCAACTCGATTATATGAGTTTGGAGATCGTTTCTAATTCAATTAATTGCACAGCCTTAGCTGTACATAATTTAATACTATCTTTAACTTAAAAGGCCTATATTATACTATTTACTGATCTATGTTATGTTTCTTCACCAAAAACATGCCTGCATATTTAGGTTGAATTCATCTCTCAAACATTCTGTTCCACCTGGTGATGTCATGTGGTGATAAAAGAATGCTCCACAATGTTTTTTAAACTCTGTGCATCTTCACTGTAATCACTGAGATGATTTTAGCCCTGGAATTGCCGATCTCTATTGAACTAAAGGTAAAAGGTAGCTGTTAACTTAAAAACTACCACTTCATGACATCACAAGGTGGAACAGTGCATTCTGTGCTTTGATGATGTTGACAAACTAATAATAAAGGGTTACTCAAACATGTGTGAATGACACATAACACAACTCTGGGTATGTTTGATGAGGTCACACCATTATAACATAACTTAAAGCTCACAAGAATTCATTTTGTCTAATATAAGACCTTTAATCATATCTTAACATCCTAAACTTACTCTTATGCTACTTTAATATCACACTTTATATAATATCACACTCATTATATTACTAAGGGCTATTTATAAGTCAGCTACACAGAAACATTGCAGTACCTTGCATAAGTGTGTCACTGTTGCTTAGAAGCAGCATTTTCCTACCTGCTGCTGTGTGCTGAATGAATGAAGTTTGGTGTCTAGCTGTGCACCACAGTATGTCCTCTTTCATCATTAATAAAAGAAACAAGGTTGTAAAAAGCCCCAGGATCCTGGGGAAGTTAAGGGTTACCTGATGCTTAATATACAAACTATGGCTTTGATGTGGAGGTCTGCTGTTTTTGTGCTTTTAGCTTTCATCTGTTACCTAAACAGACTTGTTGTACAGGAACTATCAAATTAAAGTAAATGAATACTAATTTGTATTTCCTTATATTTTGTCAGGGTAAAAAAGGAGACCCAGGCATATCACCCGGACCAGCGCCTAAAGGAGAAAAAGTAACAGCACATTTTCATGTACTTTGATACTTTCATACTATGTATGCTTGTGATTTAATTCACATATTTAACTGCTGTCCAGGGGGACTCTGGGATTATTGGCCCAGTTGGACTAACTGGCCAAATTGGACGAAAGGTAAGGATAGAAGTATAAAAATCCTCCTCCTCCTATAAAAATGTCTTAGTTATTATTTGTCCTCATTCATTTATTCTTCTTTATTATTTTTATTTCACCCTTGTTCTAAAATAAGTGCACCACTTAAATGCCTATAAATGTTAAGATGCAGTGTTTTAAGTATAAAGGTATAAGGTAGGAACTGCGAGATCAAGTGTGTGCATTGTCATAACCACAGTGTTCCATAAGAGTGACAGTCAACTCTGCAGAATCACTGCCTCCAGCTGAACATGTGGCTTTTGTTAAAGCCAGATTTTTTTTTGTCTTTATCTCCATTTGTTTGTGCTCCATCCCTCTCTCCCTTAGTTCATCTCCACACAGCCAAAATGGAAAATGTAAAGCTGGTGGAAAACACTCATTAATTTCCTTAAGACTGTGCTGGCAATAATTTAAAAGCTGGTACAAAATGTTGTTGGGTAATGTGTGAATCAGACATCTTTGGGGACAAAAAGGGACACAAATCATTCTAGAGCAGAATAAGTAACAGTGATAGCTGAAATCAGGTGGAAACTTAACCAAACATCCAACCAACCATTTATTTTAGTGTCATATGGAGATAAACCAGATGTGGCAAGCTTTCATCGCACATATAAAATTAGAGCATAGCTGTAATGGGGACTTTATCAGAATGACATCATCCTCTCATGTCTGGGAAGTGGTTGTTATAGCAACTTCATCAACACCGTGAAGAGTCAGGTATTGGTCAGCATACCATAGGGAGGATGATTATAAACCACAAGATCTTTGTTCCACTGTGCAAAAAACATTGAGATTTGTCACCTGCTGCATTAGACTCTAAAGTAGTGCTTGGTTGAGCCCTGTTTGTGTGTATCAAGTCAAAACATGTTATTGCTGAGTCAGCTCTCCTCCAGCTGTTCTGTCGCAGCACACTTGGCTTAGTGCAGTGAGTCCTGTCAGATCAATTTGCTGGATTAAGTATAGACTATGCTGATGCATATACAGTTCTCAAATCCATTGGCTTTATTATTTCTGCTGGGCCACCCTGAATGTTCTACGTGGATTATTCCTCTTTCTTTTGCTCATGGTCTGTCTGAGTTGCTTGGTTTACTCTATTACCTGTGGTTTTGGAAAATTAGACAAACAGCAGCATTGTGTCTTTTATATGGACTTTTCACTTCCTTTTTGTTTTAAGCACTCACGCAGGACATGCTCTAAACCATCCAAGAGACTGACACTTCTGTTGGGAATTTAGGAATTTGGCAGACATTTATTTCTTTGGGAATCTTTAATGGAAAAAGCAGAAGTGCTATGAAAAGAGTATGAAAGAGAGTGTGATTTTACACTGTTAGACATGCCAAGCATGTTCCGTGCTCTGTACAACATTTGCTGCACAGAGTTGACTCAATGGGTTTTCAGTATGGCAGACAAGGTCAGGGAGAGGGACATGCACCCAGGGCCTAACCCCAGCTATAAGGCCACATTACAAAGCACACATCTCACATTACTGTCTCCAGGTTTAATTCAGCCACTTCTGGGAACAGTTACAGCATTTTTACCACATCTGTCTTTCTGACAACAATGATAGTTAAAACATACATGTTGTTAGATAATCTGTTTTACATTGTCTGAATTGGATCTAAAATTAATGGTTGTTCAAAATATTTGGGTTTGTGTTTTTGAGAGGTCAGGTTAGAGTACGTAAATTAAAGTAGAAGTTTAAACAATTTCATACTTAGTGGTATATGCTTTTCTTTGTTTCTATTGCAAGATTTTAGTGTATTAGTGTATTATTATTATTATTAACAAAGACAATTGATGCCAGAATATTTTTTTATAACCAAGTCGACAAACTTCTGTGCAGATAGTGCTTTCTCACATATAGTGCAGTATGTGAACCATAGAGAAGGTTTCCATTTAGTACAACAGCTAAACTAAAGGCCTTAGTAACTTTGTTCCACTCTGTCAATCTGTGGGTTTAGGTAGAAAGTTGAAAGCCAAGATTTATGAGGTGAGAGGAGTAGTTTTGCTATAACACATTCATCTTTTGTGGTTTACAGTTGTTAACTGACATAAGGCCTCTCAGACTTTCACAAATTAAATGGCAACTCAAAGTTTAGTGTTGCTTGTTAGCTGTTTTTGCTTCTATTGAAAGCTGCTATTAATAAAAAGCTCTTAGATGAATTCATCTGATTGAACACACATGTTTGTTAAGAAAGTGGCATTGGGAATGCCAGTTCTAATTAGCAATCTCATAATGACAAATATAAAGGTTAATACACAGGACCCACTGTAAGGCCACTTTCATAGCTTAACCTGTGGACATAAGATGTGACACATATAATATGATGGAGAATATAACATTTTAGATATATCTAAAACAAGAAATTAGCTATTTTTTTTTTTTTTTTATTTTACTTTATTTTTAATATAAACCAAATCAGTTTCCTTTTTGTACATTGACTTGGCAGGAAGGAACATGTTTCTATGCAAATTAAGAGGTTAACATGATTACTCAATTAACTGATTAATGACAATTATAGGCTTGATTTAAAAATACTAACTACAATCACTATAATTAATTTAAAAATACACTTTTTGTTATGCTTTGATTATTACTAAAACTACGACTAAAGGAATAAAATCCCTTATGTAAAGCATAATGTAAAGTAACAGGATTCATAACATTCAAACACACATCACAATATATTGTGATGTGTAAGCTACTGTGTCCAAATAATTTTCCTTGTGGATCAATAAGGTTTATAAGTCTAAGTCTAACATTTGCCCAGTGTATAACCTAATCATTTAGTGATAGAGGGCGTCATTGCATCCCCTCTTATTAATTTCGATAGATGTAATTTTATAAATATTATGTCAGTATTGGACTGGTGCTGCTTTTGTCTAAAGATGCAAGTCAGCGAGAAACATTGTGTAATACTGTGAGGAAGCTGTCTTCTTCCTGCACTGGAGTCAGATGTCTTAGCTGGAGGATGGTTTACAGGAATTGAAAGAGTCTTGGCGTTAGTGCTCTTGGAGCTGTGGCTCAGGAAAATGGGACAACATACATTACTGATTTGTTGTTTGTTTTGTTTTTTTGTTTTTTTGTCTTCTTTCTCTTCTCTCTCACATAAACTTTATCTTGGCAGGAGTGCTATCCCCACCTTTAATTAAGTTCTGGTGGAGGTCTGTGTTGCTGAAATCAGCAGACCCAGTGTGCGGTGGTGTTGTCTGTTCCTCAGGCAAAAGGAGGAATACTATCTGACTAAATCAGGAAGTCATTTATATCCTCAGCATGCCACAGTCCTTCTCATGCAAAATGTGAACACAGTGGAAAGTCTGATGGTCTGACAGTGGGGAAGATTGATTACTTACACATTGCACTTAGATGTCTTTCACTGCTGTTTAAGTGTCGACATATATATTTTACTTTACACAAAACCTTACCACAGGCTACAAAGTGTGTGCCTGCTGGACTTTTGCCTGAACTCCTTTTCAGCACTGCCATCTCTTTTTCTCACATTATGCTTCTTTTTATACAGCATACAACATATTGTCTTGAACTTGTCTTTGTTTCTTTAGGGACAAAAAGGATACCCTGGTCCACCCGGACTCCCCGGAGAGCCTGTATGTATATTTTCAAGTCTCAGAAACTTTTGTCCTCCTTTAAATGTTTGACATGCACTGTATATTTATAAATGTGTCTACTACACAAAGGTGATTTTATGTGATATATGTGTGTAAACTCAGCTCAGGAGTTTATTTGTGACCCAGATCCTTATTATTCACATCCGCTGTGTTTGTTTGTGCATGCGCTGAAAGCATGCCAGAGAGAGTAGATTACTCTGTTATGAAACCTTGGCAAGCGCAGACATCTGGCCAAAGCACTGTGCTGATGCTCTCCAGGATATCACATAACTGTGCCAAGGAGAGAGAAAAGACTGGGAAAAGCTGAAGTGAATCTGCCAACAAAAATCCTAATTTGGTTTTCCCTTTTAACTAAATAGGGTTAGTCTGCAAAGTAGTGTAAGAAAGGAAAGCCCTCAGTCACAGAAAGTGCAGTGATTGCGATTAAATTTGGGTAAGTCCCATATGATGACATCAGTGTAGGGAGATCCTACTCATGATGGGGCCAGTGTCCAAAAACCTTTTTTATTATTACATCTTTCTCTTATGCACATGTACTGTGCACACAACTCCCCCTTCTTTCCCACGCGCCCTCTACTGATCAGACTGCCAGTGTGACTCATCATTACATTGATAATTGAGTAATAAGCACAACTGTTTGGCCACGAAACCGCTTGAGCATTGCAGAGCAGAGGCCAGCTGGTCCACATACAATGTTGATGATTTCTTATTTCTGTAAAATGCCTACACCCCTCTTCTACTCTGGGCAGTGAAATATCCAAATCTTGCTCAGCCACATTCTTGTCTAGCTTTAACGGAGTGCAGTGTTCTCTATATTTATCCAAACAATAAAACCATTTACTGGAGGTTTAGCATGTGCTTAAGGTAGCAGTTTTGCTCTAAAAACGTTTTTCTTTTTAAAGGTTTGTGTTTGTGTATCTTGAAGTCTATTAGAAATAATTTCTAAAATCACTATGCAGTAAATTTAGTCTAGCAAAGCCACTGGGATCCAGGTATATACTATACAGCTAAACATGGCTGTAGAGAAGGGGCCATTGTAGACCATCCCCTCTGCTGTGTCTCTTGCTCTAAATCTGCTACTGTACATAAAGGGCTTCTTGTGTGCCACTGTAATTTGGGTCTCTCACTCCACCTTTCTCTCTTTTTCCTACAGGGAGAGCAAGGTCCTGTCGGAAGCCCAGGTGCCAAAGGTTATCCTGGCAGGCAGGTGCAGTAAATCCTCTGCTGGTACTGGTACCATAGTTAGGGCCATAGAGGGCAAATGGACAATTGAAATGAGACTAGACTAGCTGGCTCAAGAGAAAAAAAAATGTACTTGTTACAAACAGATTTCCTGTTTCCATGTATTTTATGCACTTATGCAGTACCATGACATGCAAGATTTTGCTCAGACTATTGATAGAATTTTTCCAAACTCAATATTCTTTTTTTTTTTTTTACGTTTTCAGGGTTTACCAGGGCCTATAGGACCAATAGGGCCTAAAGGTGTTCGGGTAAGTACTGGAGTACATATTTATGCATTTGGTCATTTAGTTCAATTAACCATTAAACAAAAGATTTTTGGAACTTGTCTTATTTACAGCTGTAAGCCAAAACACACTTTTTCTATAGTCTGTATATATGACTGTCTACCCCATCCAAGTTCTCATAAAAACTCCTACATGGAACTCTCTTTGGACAACGTGCTCACCTTATTCTGACTATGTTCCCTTATGCCTTATAGGTTCTAACAATTTTTATGTTTAGCCAGTGTCTTGGTGGGTATTTGAAGGCTTCACTGTCCATTAGATTAAGGTTAGGGAATATGTATGAATACACTACTATGCTAGGCCTCTACACAGATTGTTTATGTCTATTGATAGCTCCAAACTCAAGCACCTTTTACTTAATGCATAAACATTTTAATAAAGACTCAATGCTGATAAACCTCAGGTTACAGGAATGTACCCTTAAGGTACAGAAACATGAAAACAAAGATGTGTTCCAATAAAGGTCTTTACCAATCAACTCTTTTTTTGCTGCTGCTCAACCTCCCCTGCCCCCACTGGTTGGAATTTCCTGTTTAAGCTCCGTAAGAGGCCCTACTGTCTTAAGGAGGCATTTTAGTTCTCTCTCCTGCACTTGAAGCACCTTTCTGTATCGTCCATACACACTTCCTAATTAAAGGTCATCATCTCTTCATGTAACATTGTTATGTGTTCTTACAATGGTGTGTTCTTTCAATGGTGTGTTGTTTGCTGTGTTCCTCTGTATTTGTGTGTCTTTCTGTGTCTGTCTTGTGTTGACAGCTCAGTCTGATGACCTGACTATCTTCAGAGATCCCTGGCGTGAGGGTATGTGCCCTTGGACTACATCGTGGAAGCCAGCACCATGCAGTCCATGGGCATATACACTTGCCTCATGGCTTTGTTCTTCATGCGAGACTTGTCTGTCCATGGTGTCTCCCCTCAAACACAGCCCTGATGGATGTGGCCCTTTAAACCTATTAATGTTTGCCTTTTTGCTCTCTGTTGTTTTTCGCTGCAGGGTTTATTGGAATCCCAGGGCTTTTTGGCCTGCCTGGGCCTGATGGAGAAAGAGTGAGTTTTGTTTTTCACATAGTATTTGACTATATAAAAAATATGTATTGACTAATATGCCAGTGTATAACAGCAGTGTTAAATCGGCTTTTGCATTCACCTTCCCTATAAATGTTAAGTGTGAGAACAGCTACTTCTCTGATAAACTCCATCAAGATGCATAACGACTAAATAAATAAATACCCACTTTCAGTGTCTCTGTGCAGCCTTGTAAATATATTTGCAATTAGCCTATTTATGATCAGTCATTCTAAGATTCAGTGTGAAAACCATTTTTTATCTGTCTAGAATCAAGAATGAATTAAGAATATCTTGTTCTTCTTATCTTTTTTTTTTCTTACATTTTCTTTTGTTATTTTGAATTTCAGGGAATTCCTGGTGAACCAGGGAAGAGGGGCAAGATGGGTAGGCCGGTAAAGTTTTGTCTAAACATACTTTACACATATTCCTTTTTACAAATGTGATAACCTGTTGTAATTTGTAATCACTCTGTCCAACTGAAAAATACAAGTGAAATTAAGATCATTCAACAGTGGATGCAAACCTGTAACATCTACACATCAATTTATAAGGGCTGTATTTACGTCATTGTTTGAGTCAGGTCACTATTTCCATTGCTGCTTGTGGGGCGGTGGGAGGGGGGTGGGGGGCATGTCATTCTTGGATGCGGCAAGAAAAGGCTTTTGTTGAAGCCAGGGGCTTTTTGTCTCTCCTCAGTGGGATCTATATGTGTCTGTTTGTGCTGCTAAATGTATTAGATACATAAAGTCAGAACGTACAACCGAATGCTGACATCATTGTGCAGCTGTTGCTTATTGCCTTCATTGTAATAAACTTAGATTTAACATACAACTATTAATATTTCAGGCCTTTTTAAGCATATTAAGCTTTTACATTTGGAAACAGCTGAATCAAGATGGTTTCTTAGAGATTGTTGCTCTTTTGTCTGGCAAAATAAGAGCAGTGTGTGTTCTCTGTTAAGAAGACACACACTTAAATACACATGCCATCTGTGTAGATATCCCTGAGCACAGACCATAAAACCCACAATCCACTTTCCACACTCTAAAGCCAATACTTCTGCTTTTTAGCTTACCTTTTCCTACGGTCATAAACTCTTTTTTTGTGAATGTTATGCTGGGCATGACAACACTGTTCTTATCATTGTTTTCAATCTGATATCTCAAGATATCACTTCACACACATTTGTCAGAAGTCACTTAAAGTGACTTTGAACAAATGAGTGACAGCTGTGACTTATGATTGGTTTGTCATGTTTCATACACTTTTGGTATGTTTATGTTTACCTTGTTTACAGCAAAGTTCATATTGACCACTTTGTTTGGGGATCCCCAATTTTTCCTTAAAGCCACAATGCTATTAAAATCACATTACAGCAGCCATTAAATAGAATAAACTCTCATAGAGTAACTTTAATTCAATAGAGAAGTACAATATATTCATATATTAATATTAATAATTTGTGTATTCATATAGTATGTTAAACTGTTCATTATTCAGTTTTTTTCTTGCTGAATTATTTTTATTAGTTTTGAGACTAAAATCTTTAAAGAAATGTTATATTATTATTATTATTATTATTATTATTATTATTATTATTATTATTATTATTATTATTATTATTATTATTGGTGCATAGTCAAAATAGTTCAAAAGCCTTTCCTTCTGTGCCCTCAGGGTTTTCCAGGAGATTTTGGGGAGAGAGGACCACCTGGACCAGATGGAGAGCCAGTATGTTATACCCACTGCAACATCAAATTCTGGACCAAATACATAGCTTGCTTAGTGTATATTGTACACTCATGTCATATCATAGAAGTGGCCAGCACTTATTTCCTTGTTTGTTTGTCATTTGGTTTTGATTGCAGTCAATATTCACTATATTCCTTAGTTCTCCTTTTGTAAAACCTGCTTTAAACTTTAAACATTTCAGAGCAAGTTGCTCGTTTTGTCTTGCAGCATTTTCCATTGTCAACAGTATACTAGCTGCTCTAGCCACCTACTTATCCTGTGGGTTTGATACCCAAATGGTAACAGTAGTCATTGAGTGTCACTTCCCCCACTACCACGTTCACCTCAGAGACTCACACAGCCCTCTCTCATAAGTTATGATCCACACAGAGCCAGTCTTCTAAGCTTGTTTGCTTTAAAAGAGCCAATAACCCCTGAAACTTTCTCCTTCTCCATCACTCTCTCTCTCAACCTGCATTTATCCAATTTTCTCATTCTCTTTCACCAGGGCCAAATGGGAGCTCAGGGTCCAATCGGGGTGCCAGGACTTGTTGTGAGTAGCACTCAAAGAAATAATGCTTGACAAACTAGATAGCATAAATGTGCATATAATATACTAATGCTAATATAATATATTAATGTTGATATAATATACTAATGCGCAAGTGTTATTATTATTAATACCAAGGTAATCTCACTGTCTCTTTTTGTGCCCCAGGGGGACATGGGCCCTGTGGGACAGATGGGTATACCAGGGCCTAATGGATTGAAGGTAATCTTGTAATATAAGTCATTTATCACCATGTTTTGTTTTGTTTTGTTTGTTTTTTTCTCGTAAAATTACATGAAAAACATAAATAGACCAGATCATAAGTGTTCTAAATTGACTATCATGTCTGTTGCAGGGGGTACCAGGAAACCCAGGAGAACCAGGACTGAAAGGTGATAAGGTGATCTGAATATTCACGTTATTGTCCAGTGAATATGCTATATGTAGTTGATTTAGTTGTTGTGTTTAATAGCAAATTTTACTGTTTGTGAAAAACTATGAATATTTTAATCACTCTACTGTATTGAGAAATTGAGAAATTACTTTTTTTTTTTTTTTTTGTAGGGTGAAGTTGGACTTCCTGGCATGCAAGGCGAGATTGGCTACAAAGGAGACAAGGTAAAAGAAAAGTTTGTATGGTGCATTTAGATTATTGCTCTATAGAGCTTGAGATTGAATGTCAAAATCTCTATGAATAAGTTTGTGTTCACAACATTTAAGAATAAATGTCATTGGAGTACCACTGTGTTTGATTAATGCCACCAGTTTTTTATATTCAAAATAATCATCCTGGTTAATTTGTATAGAGAGGAAAGACATGGTGGGTCACCTGTCTCATGAAAATGTCATTGCTTTGCAATGGAATGTTCCACATGGTATAAACTGATATATTGCACTGATTCAATTGAAGGCATTATTATCGCCATAAACATACTTGATTTGGTTGTGTCATATATTTGTCTCTATGAAGACTGCTAAGTTTCATGCTATTCTGTGGGACCTTCCAGACAATACTGTATATTGATGGGCATGTCCACTGGCTTCAGATATCAGGTATTTCCATGACTGTTACCTAGTAACAACCATATTATTTCACACCTAAAAATAGACAATGTTATAATAAGTTGCTCCTTGTGCATGAATTGTCTCTGCATTTTGGATATAATTTTGTGCATTGCTGTCAGGGAGGGTTTCCTTTATTAAGCCTCAGAGCCATTTCCTATAATATTTAACTTTTTTCCATAAAATGGTCTACAAGTCATGCAAAATCATTATCAGTTTTAAGTACCAAACTAAGACTAATAGAATAGTTATAATATAATAGAAAAAGAAAACATGAACATGAGCACTTCATGTGCACTTTAGAAGAGAGGTTTTTTTTTTTAAGAATGTTGTGCCATGAACATATCCCTCAGATAGGGGATAATTACTGCCAAGTATCCATTTCTGTTTTCTAAAGGCTTAATCTAAATTTAATAATAATAATAATAATAATAATAATAATAACCCTAACCCTATTATTATTATTATTATTATTATTATTATTATTATTATTATTATTATTATTATTATTATTATTATTATTATTTATTAATGTCTACCTTTTCTATATGCTTTGAATTGAACAGGGTATCCAAGGGGCACCGGGGTTACCAGGCATCCGTGGAAAACCAGGACCACAGGTTTATTTCTAATATTATGCTGTCTTTACCTTATTTAAACCATGTTATAATAGAGAAAACCTTATGTTTTCAAATGCAGGGCAAAATTGGAGAGAGAGGTCCTGATGGTTTACCCGGACCACCAGGCCCAGAGGTCTGTATTTATCTATCTACATTATGTATGTGCTAAAATAACTACAACATATTGAAGTCTTGGTGCTCATAATTGTAGGGTTTCCCTGGTGACATGGGGCCACCTGGAGAAAATGGAATTGAAGGTCCAAAAGTTAGTAACCTTTTGGTTATCATTAAGATTTGGATGTTAGAGATGGCAGTGAAATTGTATGTGATCTTTACCAGTAATCTCATAATATTTAATCATTTTAGGGAAAACTAGGAGCCAGAGGTTTACCAGGTCCTAGAGGGGTGCCAGGCTTGAATGTAAGTGCACTGACACCCAAAGATCAGAAGCATGAAAGCATGTTGATCTTCATAATTTAAACATAGATTATATGTCACTTTTCAGGGTGATGAAGGCCCTCTCGGACCACCGGGCCCATCAGGGCTTGAGGTGAGTTTTTTATGGTAATAATGATCAGTGTCATTGAAATGTACCATTTCTAATCATTAATGTATCTGGAAAAAAATGTATAGCATGGGTCTTAACACTGTATATGTGTGTGTGTGTGTGTGGGGGGGGGGGTACGCATGTACATGTGTGTGTGTGTGTGTTGGATGCAGTAGAATTCTTTGAGAATAAATAGAAAATTAAAGATCCTCAGGTTAACTGAATACTTTATATGGATAGTGTCTGTCTTTACAAACTATGTGTTGTTGCTTGAAAAGCACACCAGAGGGCGTTATGACTACTTACTCATGTGGTTAGTGTTCTAGTTGCTGTATCGTAATTGATTGGTTGACTCATTCTTTATTCATCCCTCTCTGGCTACCTATCTGAAAGGACACACTATTACAATAAGAAAATTATTCAGTGTAATTTAAATTATTATAAATAAATAATATTTTTTTCAATTTAAACAGTTTTTAAGTTTTAAGAGATAACTGGTATTTCTCAGCTGCACACCTGTCATGCATGCTAGGTTCCTCATAATGGAGATGGAGAGTTAATGGAATGTAGAGGATCTATTCCCGGTACCATCTATGATTTTGTGTTGTTGCCTGCTTTTTCCAACCCCCACTATCACCAGCTGTATTTTAACTTACGTTTGAGTTACACCTGCTTGTTGTCCCCATTATATGATAATTTTGGTTTGGATCCAGCATGTTTTTATTGCAATCTTTGCCATGTAAAAACCCTGGTGCACTGGTGTTTTGATTCTTGGAGATATAAATCTTACACTGGCAATGAGGTGTTTGATATATCTCCTAAGGCCCCACATTTCTAGTTTTATGTGGTTCTGAAAGAAAACAGTCTGACGGAGGATAGCGTGTGGAAAACTGACTTATGCTTTCCTGTAGCTCATCTTAAACATAACTATGTAGTCTCAACAGACTATGTCATGTTTTGTTTTTGTTTTTTTCAGGGCAGACTGGGACGAAAAGGTTTTCCTGGAAAAGTTGGAGAAGAAGGACTTATGGTAAGAATATTTTATGTGAATAATAAAGTGTATCCTACTATGGATTTCAACACTCCTGCCCACGTCTTGGGTCTTGAAAGTAAAATTTAGAAAATATATATACAATTTTGAATGAGCATAAGACAGACTTTTTTTATTCAGAATAAAAAAGTCTGGCATGATTTCAGCAAGGAAATGATATTATAAATAATAATAAAACAGCCACCAACAGCTACAAATGTCTTCTTCTTTTTTATTTTTTATTTTTTCCAGGGAGAGCCGGGTATCACAGGAAAAGTGGGACCAATGGGAGAAAGAGTAAAAAAAAAAAAAAATTACATTATTGTAGTTACTAATAATTGTTGTCACTTTGAAGTGTCAATTATTGTTGTGTTTTAGGGCTTGGTGGGTTTTATTGGACCTGTTGGAGAACCAGGATTAGCAGGAGAGAAGGTATAATCTAAATTAAAGTTACATGAATGAATTATATATATTATGTATATGTCTTTTCTATTTCAGGGAGATCGGGGTGAGATGGGACATCCAGGACCACCTGGGGAGAAAGGATCAACGGTAAGATACAGCAAATAGTCAAATTAGATGTTTTTTTTTATTCCCATGGGAATATATATATATATATATATATATATATATATATATATATATATATATATATATATATATATATATATATATATATATATGTGTGTGTGTGTGTGTGTGTGTGTGTGTGTGTACATACATTATTCCACTCATAATCACATAATCAGAATGGGTTTATTTCATATTATATAAACCTACATTTTATCAACTGAGGTTAATTTGTTGTATTCCTAAAGACATTTTATTAAGTTGTGCATTTATGTTTTTTTTTTTTTAGCTCAATACTATATCTTATACAATGGCATAGGGGGGATATGCTAAGATGCTTCTTACTTAATTACCATTTGTCTTTAACTCAATAGAATAAAATGTCTTGGTAAAGCACTACGTTAATCTGATAGAAGAACATGTAATACAGCACATTCCGTTGTAGCTGGGCAGCTATGAATAAGGATGTAGTCATCATTCATACTCAAACAGAGTGAATTTCCTACTGGCTCCTAGCCAGTTGGACTTCTTCAAGGACTTAACCAGACACACACACATTTATGTAAGGAAGTTCTCTGTTCATTCTGTCTGTTACACAGAAACAGACTCTCTGAAAAAAGTCTGACTATTACAAAGAAGAGGGCAGCTATCCTGCAGACATAGCTTTTAATGTAGAATTTGTACTGAAGATTGTGTCCAAGATGCAGTGTATTTCTTGTTATTTCAGAGTGTGACAATTGGTAGTATGTTCTGTTTTAACTGCACAAAGTTATGTTCAAAAACATGTTGCATATATACTTTTCTTTTGAATGATGTTCATTAATATTTACAATGTTATTACTTGTGTTTTATCTAAGGCAAAAGCAGCATAGTACCATGTGTTCTCTTATAGTTGTATATGTGCTAGCATACATATTATTATTATTATTACTTATTTTATTTTATTTTTTTCATAGGGTCACCCCGGGACACCAGGGGAGACTGGGCTTCCAGGTCCACCAGGAAGACCAGTGAGTTGGTGACATGTTGCTTTGTTCACATTATCCAGCATATTATCAGGAATGTATTATGTATACATTCATAAATTATATTTTGTGGCCATTGCTGTGTCTCTTTGACTTTCCTAAATATAAGCTACTTAGGTTTAGGTACACTGTTGGGAAATTTGTGACCAATCATTCACACAAAAACCTAACTATATTAACTATTTAGAAGCCAATGTGCCTCTCTTCATGTGTTCTTGCATCGGTGAGGTTAATTAGCAAAGGTCAACCTATTTCTGACTATGGGATGCATTGAGTTTTCTAAAATAAACATAAATACAGGTCTTATATTTGAGTTCTTTTTAAATTCTTTATTAAAAAAAAGAATTAGATTTTTTGTGTGTGCATTTCTCTCTGTGTTTCCTGACATTCCGTTTTCCCCCATCAATCCAAACCATGCACCATAGCTATTATCTTCCAGTTAAGGTAGTGACCAAGCCTAGCAACAAGATCAGAGAGAGAGGTGTGATTTCATTGCACACCCATTGTTTCTGATGAAGTGCCCCAGAGGCATTAAAGGATGGGTCAAATGCAGGGGAAAAATTTCCCTACAGAGACACTAAACTTTACTTTATATTGTATTCATTTTTTTTAGGGCCCCCCAGGAGGTTCGGGCCCTTGTGGTGCCAGAGGACCAAAAGGCTTACGAGTATGTGCTGCCATGTTGCCATTTTTAACATGCTGTATTCCATCTGCTGTGTCCATCCTTAAAGGTCCCATATTGCTCAAAATTGACTTTTAATCATGTTGGAATGTTGTTTTCTCATCAATAACATACTTGTAGATGTTTTGTTTCATTCGCACATGTTTAAGTAAACCTTTATTATGAGTTTGTCTACATCTCCAAAGCTCAAAATGCTCTGTTCCACCATGTGATGTCATGAAGTGGTAGGTTTAAAAAAAAATTAAAACCTACAACTAAAGGTAATTCAGTAGAGATAGGCAATTCCAGGGCTGAAACTATTCAAATGATTCTGCTGAAGGTGTGTGGAGTTTAAAAACACAATGGAGCACTTCCTGTATCACTAGGAGTGACAGTGGCTTGGTGGTTTGAACAGTGGTTCCCCAGCTTGAAGATTGGAGGCTTGATTCCCACTCAAAACAAGTTACCATTGTGTTGTCAGGCAAGACAATTCACCCAAATGGAAGTGACTAATGACTACAGTATAGTGCTTGGAGAGGCTTTGACAAGCCTGTAAAGTGCATTACAGGTGTAAAGCATTATTGTTATTGACATCACAAGGTTCAATAACTTGTTTTCTGTTTGAAAGAAGAACTTAGCCTAAATAAGCAGAGTTTGTTTGCTAAACATGTGTGAATGAAACAAAACACAACTCCAGGTATGGTTTTGATGAGGAAACAATAGTATAACATAAATCAGAAAATACCATAAAATGGGCCTTTTGACAAACAAACTCACTGACTCACTAACTCTCTCACTCTCTTTTCAGATTTACAGTTTCTATGGTGACTGTTCTTTTCTTCGTTGCACTGATAATGGGTTTATTGTCTTCTAAACTTGGTGTGAATATACTCTGAGTTGCCAAACTTATCTCCAAACCCATTTAGAGTACAGAAACAGATTGTTATGGTGTGTGAGTAAGCCAACACAGTTACATAGTTAACACAGAGTTCTGTGTACATATTGTGTAAAATGAACTCAAGTCATATGTAGGGTTCCAAAATGACAATGGGTAATAGGTTTAAGACAACACCACGCAAGCTGTGCGAAAGCAAGTACCACAGGCAGACAAAGGAACACTAATCATCAAGCTTCAATCTTTCTGTATAAATCACATATATTGCCAGGTTTAGAGAGGTAGTAGTACACATACATTGATGTGCTTTGACTTTTCCAAGGAAGATGTCTTTACTTATTTGTTTACTGTATAGTCAGTATCAAGTTGTGTTACAGTGACCTCTGTTGGTGAAGTGACATGTGTCTTGTGTTTCAGGGTGCATTAGGGGCTGATGGTCCAACAGGAGAGACGGGATTAGAGGGCAAGAAGGTAAGTGAGACCTCTGGAAAGTAAAATTATTAGTTTGGTTCATGAACATAAACAAAACAATATGTTGTCCTAAGGATTTTAAACAGGAATTCAGAAATTCAGTTTTTCCCCTATAATTATTATATAATGCTGTTTTTAATTCTTTCCCTCTCTGCACAGGGCCCTGATGGGCCTCCTGGAAAAATAGGCTTTCCTGGGCCACAGGTAATTAATTCAACATGATTATATTATACTCTAATGCGCTCGCTTGTGTGTGTGTGCGCGCGTGTGTGTGTGCGCGTGCGTTTGTGTGTGTGTTTATATATATATATATATGTGTGTGTGTGTGTGTGTGTGTGTGTGTGTATATATATATATATATATATATATATATATATATATATATATATATATATATATATATATATATATATACATTAATACAATTTTATCTATCTACAGGGAAAAATTGGAGAGCCAGGGGAAGTCGGACCTAAAGGCTTTCACGTATGTGTGTTCATAGCATGCATAGCTCATATGTAGTTGAGTTGGTAGCACTCTTACATCACAGGAAAAAGGGCCCATGTTCAATTCCCAGACAGAGGGAAACCAAGCTCTATTGAAGTTGCACATTTACCCCCCATCTGGGTGAGCTCCCTTGGGGGTGAACCAGTTGCACAACAGGCTAATCCTCTAGCAAGGTTTTCCTTGCCAAACCTAGCTCAAGTTCTCTTGTGGTTACCCTTGTTCCTGCAAGTTAATCGATGAAGAGGGGACAAATAATATACATCTTTATAGTTTGTCATTAAATTAGATACTTATGTGTTTAGGCATAACCAGTAGTGTCAATATTGTATGCACACAGACTATGTTGTGCTGTATTGTTTTTGTGTTTTTGTTGGTGAAATATGCTGTACACTTGTGCTGTATAAATATTAGAATTGAAACATGATTGATTTTAATAAATGGGGATCATGTTGATGTCAATAGTTTTGTAACATTTTTTTGTTCTATGTCTAGGGAATACCAGGATCTTCAGGAGCCTCTGGTGATAAGGGAATTCCTGGGGAACCGGTATGAAGAACTAACTAATCCTTTAAGCTGTAATCTTTGTAGTTTTATACAATCAAACATGCCTATACTTTTTTTTTACTTTGTAGATTGAGTGATAGATAGGCTGAACAATAAATACATTGGTAATTGAAGGAGACATTCAGCTGTAACAGCATTATTATTGTGCTCAATCAAGCTAAGTTAATCAAGCTAAGGTCAAATAGATGAAATGATGCCATCATATCATTTGTTTTAAAAACAAACAAACAACAACAACAATAAAAAAAAACTCAGTGATAGGACAACAAACTGTTTTTTAGAATATATTCATAGTTTGCCTCATGGTGATGGTTATTGATATCTTATCTTGTTGTTCCTAGGGACCACCTGGACCACCAGGGGCTGTGGGACTTCTAGGTGAAATAGGACACAAGGTGAGAAGGTTGAGTAGAAGTCATACTTAACAAATTAAGGTCTATTACAGATTTCAAGTCATTAGTATGGAAACATATTATGGTTTTCTCGTTCTTTTATTTTTGTGTGCTTTATAAGGGTCCTCCTGGCAAAGAAGGTGAACCAGGGCTGCCAGGGGAGCCAGGCGAGAAGGTGGGTTCCTATTAATCTGCAATTCTTTCACTTATTACTAGAATTTGATTAAAACCTAGCACCCATGATTATAGGGTGATATTGGACCTGTGGGAAATATCGGTGAACAAGGACTCATAGGACCAAGGGTACATTCAAATATATATTTACACAGTTTAATATTTAACAGTGTAGTTATTCACACAAATTCATGTATTTGTTTTGCTGTCAAACAGGGAGAACATGGTCTTGAAGGAGAGGCTGGCCCAGCGGGCCCTGACGGTGCTAAGGTGGGCATTGTTTTTTCTTTCTACTGTTGTTGGTATAAAAGTACTCTATACCAACTAGATTTTTTTTCAGGGTGAAAAGGGTGACATGGGTCAACAGGGTGAGACAGGAGAAAAAGGAGAACCTGGGCTCAAGGGAAAAGAAGGACTTCCGGGCAATCCTGGACTCACTGGTGTCAGGGTGAGGCTGCTTTTCTTGTTCAACTATGTTAAGTTTGCATCCTCATTTGTACTTTTATCTCCAGGGACCTGAAGGAAAACCTGGCAAAATTGGGGAAAAAGGCAAAACTGGACCAAAGGTACCTCATCTCATAAGCAGAAGCCAGATACGTACGATATGTATGATAGTTTTGAGTGGACTGGAGAATAAGAGGCGCCTCCCTCTGAAGGCAATTGGGAAAAAAGGGTCAGATTAATAGAAGATAAATAAAACTTTTGATAAATTCAGTTGAGAGAAAAGCACAAATGCCTTTCCTATCCACAGATTCATTTATGTCTCTGCACATTTTTCAAAAACAAAATGGTCCATATTTCTACCTCACCATGTTTGTTTCCACCTTTGCCTTCCACACTATTGGCACAAGCAAAGACAGTTCAAAATACAGCTATACATACTGTTTATTCATGTCCACTCACAAACTCTTTATGTTTTAGGGTGCTAAAGGTCACCTGGGTCACCTTGGAGAGACTGGGTCACTTGGTAAAATTGGCCCACCAGGTTTTGTTGGACCTAAAGGATCAAGAGGCACCACTGGACATGTGGTAAAATTGATACTTCTGTATTAATACTACAAACTAAATATTATTTTTATTTACGGTGAAGAATTATTGTATTTTAAGGGGGCACCTGGTCGTATGGGACAACAGGGGGAACCTGGCATTGCAGGTTATGAGGTAACCTTTAAACTTAAATTTACTAATTACTAATAATTACTAATACTATTAGAATTAAAATTACTCATATTCATTTGTTATGTATTTATTTCAAGTATGCTGGTATTTCAAAAAAATATTTTCTGTTGTACCTAACAGGGTCACCAAGGACCACTGGGCCCAGTGGGACCCCCTGGTCCAAAAGGTGAAAAGGTATATATGTTTGATTACATTTTGTTGTTATGACTTGCACAATATTTGTCATTGGCTATGTGGAATAGCTAGAATAATGTATTGTTGCCCACCATAAATTAACAAAATCTAAATAGGTTTGTATAGATCATAGCCATGTTTATGGTTGTTCAGTGTGTTTTTGATGTCCTCACCAGGGTGAGCATGGCGATGACAGCAAGATTGAAGGTCCTCCTGGTCCACCTGGTGAAATGGCAAGATGCATATTTTATTCCTACATTATAATTTTTATTATCCAATTTATAGTTCATTTTTAATTAAATGTTCCTTACACCAGGGTTCTCCTGGTGACAGAGGAGAGAGAGGGGAACCAGGGGACCCAGGATACAAAGTTAGTTACTAAATAATGATTAGTGACCTTGGTAGTATCATGAATTCTGAATTCCTTGCTTTTACTGTGTCAGGGTCTAATTGGTTTTGATGGAGAAAGAGGTCGAACAGGAGCTCCTGGATTACCGGTGAGTTGTTATGCTATGCATAAACCTTAGTTTATTATATTTTAAGCCAATCTTTTTAAGTACATTTTTGCCAATATAGGGTCAACCTGGACCTCGAGGGCTACAAGGACCAAAAGGATCAAAAGGAGCTCAAGTAATTAAAACTGGACAAATTAAAATTAGATAATACATTGCACTGTTAAAGTTCAAATATCTTTCAAACTCCTTTGTTCTTAAAGGGTCAAAAAGGCAAAAAGGGGCAGACTGGACAAAAAGGAACTAGAGGACAAGAGGTGACTTATCATATTGTGTGAAAAGAAATTAACTTTTACCATACATTACTAAATACTATTTTATATTGTAAATTGTGTAATTTAATATCCTGTTTAATAAGCAGTATTTTTGGACAGGGCATAAATGGTCCTCCTGGTCCCAGAGGTGTGGTTGGCCGTGAGGGGCAAGAAGGTCTGGCTGGGGCAGATGGTGCTTCTGGAAAGGATGGGAGTAAAGGGATGCCGGTAAAACCCCTGATATTATTATCCAATGAACATTATTTTACTAGAGAATGTTATTGTGATATTGCCCAATATGTTATTATCAAAATATTTTCAGGGGGAGCATGGAGATGATGGGGTGTATGGTCTTCCTGGCAAAGCTGGATCACGTGGAAAATCTGGTGTTATTGGACTTCCAGGTGATCAAGGTGCAATTGGTCCAAAGGTAAGCAATTACTGTTTAAAAATGATCAGCATACTGTTACAGATTTGTGATATAGTAACTAATAAATTTTTTGAGCAGGGTGAACGTGGACTTAAAGGTCAAAGTGGACCACCGGGAAAGAAAGGGCTTTATGGTGGAATGGGACTACCTGGGCCTCAAGGGAATAAGGGACAAAAGGGACAGCCTGTAAGGAGAGAGCAAGGTGACGTTTATTATGAGTACTGGTACTCTCTGTCTGACAGTGTGTGGCTCTTGGTTTTCAGGGTGATACAGGGGAACCAGGTTTTCCAGGAATTCCAGGAGTGTTTGGACCTAAGGTAAAGTTTCATTATGTTATTTTTTGCCATCTAACTCATTTTCTTAAATGTTAAGTTATAAAGAATACAACCTCAAATTTACTGTTGACATTTTCTGTCCTTATCTGTTATAATGTCATAAGTCTGTTTCATTCAATAAATTTTAATTTAATCCTGTGCTTTGGATTATATCTTAGTTTATATAAATATTGTGGTACTTACTCCATATGGTAAAAACTCTTTTAGGGCCCTCCTGGTGACTTTGGCCCAAAGGGAATACGAGGACCTAAGGGACCACAGGGTTCAATGGTAAGAAGACAAATGTTTAATGAAACCAGTTTAATCAAAACCCAGTCTTATTGATCTTGATGATGCCATCAGGGTAGTGGAGGAGTGATTGGCCCTATGGGAATTATCGGTCCCACTGGAAGTGCAGTATGTATTATATGGCCTAATTATACATGAATATTTTTTACTTAAGTTATACTTACTTCATTTTTACTCAATAGGGTCCTAGGGGAGATAAAGGGAACCGTGGGGAGACTGTAAGTTATTATAAACACTATTATTATAAAAAATATTAACAGATTTTATTTTATGTATATATGTATGTGTGTGTGTGTGTGTATTATATATATATATATATATATATATATATATATATATATATATATATATATATATATATATATATATATATATTATATATATAATTATATTTTTTTTAAAAATTCCCTCTCTCTCTCTTTTCTCTCTGACAGGGCTTACAGGGTCCAAGGGTATGTTTCTGAACAGCATAAACACTGTATTTATAAGTGTCATCTTTAACTTGAGTGTTCTAAATACAATTTCATTTTAGGGTTCCCCTGGCCCTCGTGGACCCCCTGGACCTCCAGTAAGTCTTCCACCATTGTTGGTTTTAATCAAACTTTCTTAGATCTCTGTTTGTAACATGGTGTTTTGCTCTGTATAGGGCCGTCCAGGAGTCCCTGCATCCTTTGTAAGATATTTTGCAGCTACATTACAGAAAAAATAAATAAATCCAATAACTAATTTGCAATAATCAACATTGTTATATTCTACAGAAAGAAGATGGTGCGCAGTTTATGGATTCACATGTCCCCCTTAGGACAGAGGTTTGCACATGCTTCTTTTTGATTGCATCTTACTAGGAAAAAATATGTGGTGTTTTATTCGTATTGACTACTATAATACATCATGCAGAGGAATAAACCAATGATGGATTTGCCAATGCTTGATCAGAGTGCAGAGATCTTTAAGACCCTCCACTACCTCAGTAACCTGATTCAAAGCCTAAAGAACCCACTTGGTACTCAAGACAACCCTGCCCGCATCTGTAGGGACCTGCACAGCTGTGAACAGAGGTTAAATGATGGTCAGTATGGATTTTTTATTTTTTTCATAATAAGTATCTATAGTCATTCTGTGTACAATGTGACAGTACTAACTCTATACATATCCCAGGCACTTATTGGATTGACCCAAACTTGGGCTGCTCATCAGACACAATTGAAGTCTCATGCAACTTTACTGGAGGGGGACAAACTTGCGTCAAACCAGTAACAGTAACAAAGGTATTATTAATAAATACATAAAGCAGGAAAGGAAGGAAATTATTTCAATAAAATGGCATAAACATCTTCAAACTATTTTCACACAGCCATTATACATTGTTGGTCGTGTCCAAATGAACTTTCTCCACCTGCTGAGCGCAGAGGCAGTGCAACACATCATCATCCACTGCCTGAACTTTTCAGTCTGGGGGTCTGCTGATGGCCAACCTCCTGATCTTTGGTCTGTAAAATTTAAGGCCTGGAGTGGAGATGTGATAGAGGCTGGAGGGGAGCTTGAACCTGAAGTAATTGAAGACTCTTGTTGGGTAGGAAAATGTTCTTGTACATTATTACTTATTGAATTGATAGCATGCAGACATATACAATGTTCTGTATTTCAGATTAAAGATGGACGCTGGCACCAGACACATTTTGTTCTCCACTCGCTGGACCCTGCTCTTCTACCTGTGGTAAACATCTATAATCTACCAAACCCAACTACTGGTGCACATTACCACCTTGAGGTTGGACCAGTGTGTTTTCTCTGAAGGCGTTTCTAAAAGAGTTACTGTCCCATGACATAGTGTGGAGGAGATTTGTCTCCTCCAAACAGCAGCACTCTCCAAAAGGAGAACAACCTTCCTCCTGACTGCTTCATTGCTTCATTGTTCCCACTGGACTGCGAATAAGAGGAAGCTAATGGAGTGGAGGAAGAATGGATTTTGTAGGTGAGCTTATAAGGAGTAGGAGACTTCTTGCACTAATAGCTTCTCCAAATGGCTAAAGCTCCTAAAGAACGTTGTGTGGCAACTTGGAGAACTACCACACATTCTCTCTGGAACATTGCAAAGACAGAGACCTAGTCCATAAACATTTTTGGGACTTTTATAGTTAACTTATTTTTGTATGTATACAGTTGATATGTATTATTTGGGATGAATTTAGTTAATAAACGTGTTCCTTATCTTTTTACACATGTGTATGTTATGTGAAATATTATGTATGTGCAATAGAAAAAGAAAAGACAAATTGTTTTAAACATGTCATTTATTTATCTTTGGTGGAAATCTTATTGGATACCATCAACATAAATAGTAGTTTGTAAAAGCAAAAATTAACTTCAATTAATTCCATAATGTGAGAAAAAACAGAAGTAGAAAAGTAATGTTCACTGCTCAGTGTTGTACATAGGTCCATGACTGGAAGCCACTGACAGATTGAGGAGGTATTGATGGGTTTCAGTTTCCTGTTATAGGTAACATTTTGAGTTTTTCGCAATTCAAAATATGTGTTCAATTGTTAATCATTGTGGCAATGATCCTAACTGTTCATCATTCTGAAACTCATGGAAAGCTGTGGAGATTTAATCAAGGCATTTAAATCTGAGTTGTAATGTTTTGATCTCGTAACTGTGGAGTAACTGGGTATAATTTTACTTTATCATTAAGTAAATGAGATTCATTTAGTCTTATTCATAAAGACATGTTTTTAATTATTTAAGAAACACGGCTCTATGAAACAAAACCTCTGCCTTCTGTTCTATCCCCTGCTTATGTAAGGTGCTACATAATCATTTTTGAGGTGCTATCTGTTGTGCTGTAATTACACCACTCTTTGAACCATTATTCGTATAGTGCATGCTTACTTGGTATTGACATGTGAAAGAACAGTAAGTCTTGTTTCATGCACTATATTCAAAATGAAATGCTACCGTAGTTCACACTCACTTTAAAAACACTTCATCATGTTGTGTATTTATAATAAGTAACAGCATGTGAGGTATTTTGGAAAATAGTATTCCATTTTCTGTATAGATTTTGCAGCTGTGTAATATTTTATGGGTACACCAAGTATCATTTAATAATAAATGCTGATCTTTTGTAGCTGGACACATGTATATAATTGTGCAAACAATGCTGTATACAGTGAACCCCTGTAATTTATGTTATTTAATAATTTGTAACATGGTTGTTGAAGGAGCTTCTTTCAGAAGTAATACTACTCTCACAACATTATCAGCATACCCAACAGGTCTTGGAGTTTATATTTGTGTAAATTTTATGGCTCAAGGGAGCAAATGTAATGCAATTACCTTTTATTTTTTTATTTTTTATATTTTTGTGTTTGTAATTGTGTCTTAGAATAATGAACCACGTACTGTAATAGATTTTTGCTATCAGATTGCCTTTTTTTTTTTTTCGATAGGTTCAGATGTGTGAAAATTCTTCTCTGTACATTTGTAGAAAACATGCTGAAAATTCATACCTCACATTTGACATAAATTGGGATAACATCATGGTCATTGTATTTAAAATATTTATGGAACCAACCAAATATGGCTCCTGCTGGTCAACATATGACCCCAGTCATTGTTCAGTGTCCATAGTTTAATAAATGCTTTTATTTTGTGTGTGGGTTGATGTTTTAGCAACACAGGGTTACATAGATAAGCTGCTACTGTCAAGCCATAACCAAGTATTACTGTTGCTTTTACCATTTAAGCACTTTAATCTTTAGGCTATTTTTCTATTGTCTTATATTGGCTGTTCAATTTCAATACATGTGAGTTATTATATTTTGCTGGAGGCTAAATTTGGTTTTAAGATAAAATAGTGACTTCTCCGTTGCCCTGAGAAATTGTCTGCCTTGGCTGGCTAGCAAGACTACACAACACTTTACGATGATGTAATCTTCTGTACACAAAGAACCGGTGTTGTCACAACCCTGTCTTAGTCTGATTCAATGATTGGTCCAGACCAGATTTAAAACAGGCACAGCTTTAACTCATTACAAACACTGCATTTTTGTCACACATTAAGGGAAACAGGTTAATCCCCCAAATGTTTTATCCAGATTTATCTACCTTCACTTTGAAAACTTTATTAGAAAAATAAATGTGGTGTTCGAATCATTATTCATGACTTAAAAATAGGCTATATTTGATATGACACAGACCATTAACAATTAAATATTTTGGGGCTAATGTTAACTTATTAAAGGGGCAAGAGAAATTAAAGCTGCGCGCGGCGATGGTGGCCCTCGCCCCGGCGCGCACCGCCGCCCCATGCGACTGCCGGGGACTCGCGACCGCCCCGGCACGCCACTCTCTCTTCCCGACAGCTCCTGAGGCCGACAGCTCGTCCACCAGAAAAATTACACAGTGTACCTTTAAATGTTTCAGAGGAGTCATTGCGCCCCTGCTGGCCAACCGTGAAAAATGCCCCATGTCCTTAATGGACTTTTTAACTTGTAAACATGCATAGAATTTAATTCACGAATTTGGTCCAATTCTGATAATGTTGACGTTTCATATCTATGCTACGGGGCGCTATAGAGATCACTTTTATTAGATTTCATATTTCATTACATTCAGTCCTGGATTACGAAAGAGCATTGTAGTCATTGAAAAAAAAATCTGGAGGGGGGAGGGGAGGGGGGATTATCTCGTAATTACGAGATACTATCTCGAGATACTATCTCGTAATTACGAGATAGTTTATTTTTCCTACTAGCATCAGGATCCGCAGCGGATCCGCTTTCGGTCCGCCAAATCCGCCCCACAGTCCGTCCGCTTTGCGGATCCGCTGCGTATTTGTTCCGTATTCGCTTTCTGACTGTTGCTAACCCTAACCCTTGGATGGCCTGCTGTTACAGAGAGAATTTGCGGTTAAATCATGTTAGATCCGCACTGTGAACGTACTTTTAACACAACACTTTGTTTTTGACACAATGATTTGTACTATCAATGCGCGGATCCGCGGCTAAACCGGCTTTCCACCTGAGTGGAAAGAAGCTGCATCCACCTGTTGTCCGCGGATTTAACTGTAAGTAATAGTTTAAAAGTTAATTGTATTAGTCATCATTAATGTACATAACGTTAACGTTATATTGTGGTGTGTGTACATCTGTGACTGTGTGTGTTTTATCAGTTTTGACGAGTGCAGTAGGAAAGTTAGCGACAGTAGCAGCTAACGTGATGAAGACGATGTGAGGTCAGGAGTCAGGATAACTCCATCTCTTGAGTTAGATCCCAGTCTAAATACTATTTTTATATAACGCTACTTATATTCTTGTATATTTTTACGATCACAGAATTGTAATTCTGCTCCGGGATCATTGGTCGTGTCTAACGGGCTCGGTTCTGGCTGGATGCCGCTCTCGCTCTCGGCGCTCTCCCTTCGGCTGTGGAGCGACGGTGACGGTGACCGGTGTCTGATCTGATTGTGTTTTTAACCAGAGATAATTATTATTTGTGTAGACTAGAGTGTTGACTGTTGAGTTGAGACTAAAGTGCAGTCATGTCAGTGCCTTAATACAATAATTTAAGGCAACGTGCCATAATACAATAACGTAACGTAATAAAAAGCACAACTTTTAAGAACAGCTAACGTTAGCTAACCAACCAAAACTTATGTTGTTTTTCCCCAGATGACATCAGGAGCCCCTGTCCTTCTGCTGAGTGTCCCCATCAGGAGCCCGGCACGCTGATCAGAAGTAAGTACTTTTAATGATTTCTGTGACAGTGAAGATTTAGTTTAGAGCCAGATCTGACTTTGTCTCTAACTTTCTGTTATGGGACTTGAGACGGTGCTTCAGACTTTCAGTGAGAGATGTTGACATGAACACTAATGTGTCACATCTATATTACACCGATATTGACTATGAACACCATCATAAATTGATTATTATATTTTAAATGTTGTGGTAAAAGTAAATGTAGTAGAGTATTGTGTATTAACAGCAGTGAAATACGTCTCAATCTCATACTCAGGCTTATACTAAAACAAAAGAGTTCAGTTTTACTGCGCTAAAGTATTTCCTATGAGTTAAATAATGTTTTTCATCTCTGTTTCAGAATATACTATGGTTAATAAGAAGATGGACATAACAGCATGATAAAGACCCTCTGGAGGTAAATACTGCACTTGGATTAAACACTGTGGCCTGAAATGATCCAAACTGATATTTGTGTTTCTCTTATTTGATGTATTACAGGATTCCCTCCGCTGGGCCAAGTTCCAAAAATGTAGAGAAAGACCCTCTGTAAGTTTACTGTATTATCCTACTTTTATTAACTTTCATAACTAAACATATGCACATTATAATCACACCTGTTGTTGTGCATGTTGTTTCTTTCAGAACATGCTGTGGTTGAGTTTAAAGACTGACCCTCTGTAAGTGCACAGATCTCTCTTTGCGGCGCGTTTTCGGCGTCAGCGCGGCGCGAATCTGGCGTCAGCGCAGCGCGTCTTCAGCGTTTTGGCGTCAGCGGCCAAGACGCGCGTCCAAGGCGTCAGCGTCAAGAAGTTGAAAATGCTGAACTTTTCGCGTCAGACGCGCCGCGTCAACCAATCAGGGACGAGTATCCAGAGACGCAGCGACGTTATTATCAGGAAGCAAGACCGGAGAACCAGAACGAGAACCACAAACATGAACGGAGAATAAATATATACGCCACAATCACCGAGCCGATCGCGAGGAAAACACCAGGACCGGACCAGGACCAAACCAGGACTAGACCGAGACTAGACCGAGACTAAACAAGGACTAGACCGGGACTAGACCGTGATTAGACCAGGACTAGACCGGGACTAGACCGTGATTAGACCAGGACCAGACCGGTATTAGACCAGGACTAGACCGGGACTGATCCAGTGTCATTAGCGGAGTAGAAATATATATACCCCCCAGTCGTCGACCCGATCTCCTCCTTTGATGTTTTATGTCATAAAAACACTCTCTCAGTCTGGTCTGACATTGTTTCGGGAAAAGACCGGGACCGGGCTCTTGTTTCCAGGGCAACGGACGCGCGTCAAGTATTTTTGTCCCGTTCGTCCACGGCGTCAAAGACGCGCCTCGGGGGCGTCTAAACTCAAATGCAAAGGCTCCAAATAGAGACGTCAAGGCGTTTTTTGACGCTTTGGTGTGAACGGCCCTTAAGACAGTAAAAAAAAAATAAAAATAAAAAAATAAAAAAGCATGCTCCCCGAGGTCAAACGCGCCCCCCTTGACGGAGCGTTGCGCCCCCCCAGGGGGGGGGGCCCCACTATTTGAGAAGCACTGTGTTAAAAGTACGTTCACAGTGCGGATCTAAGATGATTTAACCGCAGATTCTCTCTGTAACAGCAGGCCATCCAAGGGTTAGGGTTAGCAACAGCCAGAAAGCGAATACGGAACAAATACGCAGCGGATCCGCAAAGCGGACGGACTGTGGGGCGGATTTGGCGGACCGAAAGCGGATCCGCTGCGGATCCTGATGCTAGTACGGAAAATAAACTAATCCCCCCCCCCTCGTAATTACAAGATAGTATCTCGTAATTATGAGATAATCCCCCCTCCCCTCCAGATTTTTTTTTTCACTGACTACAATGCTCTTTCGTACTGGATCACACAATTGTGATTTGAATTTGAGTTCTCTAGGACAATGCCTGTGGCCGTGACAGGTCACCGAAAAAACAGGAAATGAAGGCATTTTTCGCCGGCGTGCTACGGGCAAACCGTAAGGAGTATCCCAAAAAAATTTGGCAACTTCTGTGAGTTCATGTCTGTAGATGTGACATGTCAAATTTGAGCTCATTTGGACCAAACCCCGGGGACTTGAATCTTTTTGTAGACACCCAAGTCAAAACGGCGCCGAATTTTTGATCCAATATGGCCGACTTCCTGTTCGTCATAGGGGTGCACAATGATTGGCTTTTTCGCTTGTCTCCTTGAGTTCTATGACTGTTCCGAATTTTGTGACCGTACGACCAAATATGCCTCTCAGACTCCCATTCATTTCAAAATTTTCAAATTTCAAGGGGGCGCTGTTGAGTGGGGGGGCTTTGGGCATTGTCGCGATGCCCGTTTTATCAAATTTTTCGCCGGGCCGATCGATCTGAACCCCGGTTTGGGGACTTTTCGTCCATGTTCAGGGGGTCAAAAATGCGATTCAATGTGGGGGAAAAAGAAAAAAAAAAAAAAAAAAAAAGAAACCGACGAAGAACAATAGCCCTCGCCAGTTACTTCGTTACTGGCTCGGGCCAATTAAAGGGTGTTATGAACTTTTTTTTTTCTCAGTGGAAATCTGCAGTGTTCCACATCTCCAGGGACAATCAGTCTCTGTAGAGACAAGCAGCTGGCTAGTAATTTGGTCAATAAAAATACAGGTAATTGAATAAATTCAAAGATAGGTAAGTTTATACCACATGGTGGAACATTTCAAGCAAGACTAGCTTGTGACTGATCCAGCTTGCATCAAAAAACGTGTGCACGAGTGCATCTATCGAATTGTTTTAAGACCGTCACATGTCACCATTCCAGTACATTAATAGTTCCATACAGAAAACAATAACTAGTGCAACTGCAATTGTTGTTAGATAATGGGAAGCTGAAACCAATGTGTAGAGCTGTGAAAGACAGAGGTAGATGAAATAAGAAGTTTACAGAAGGTTACTCTTAGGGCAATCACATACTGTAAAAAGAATATATACAGTTTATGCAAAACAATACCGATTACTCAAAGATGCACGAATCACTGAAAATGGTCTATGAAGTGGAGTGTGTGTGTGTGTGTGTCTGTGTGTGTGCGTGTGCGTGTGTGTGTGTGTGAGTGTGTGTGGTTGGGGGGACCAATGGTGCAGACTGGCAGTATCACTTCCTTCAGTCTGCCCCAGGGCAGCTGTGGCTAGCTTTTCATCGCTAAAGTGTGGAGTGAATGAAAGCTGCTATATAAATGCAATGCAAAAAAAAAAACATGTTTTTTTTTCTTTTGCATAGTATGTCATCTTTAATGGGTTAAGCATGACACTGGGTTTAAATGAAACGGGATGATGCATTTGAATACATCACCGTCCTCCAGCGTACACAGTGGTGACGTGAACCAGCCAGTGATGGCGGCACTGTGCGCTAGTTTGAATTCCGCCCGCTCCTGGAGTTTACACCTAAGCCAGTGAAAATAGTTTAGTGATTTCTGCAGGGACATAAAGTAAGTGAGACTAAAATAATGGATTCTGTCGTGGGAGACGACCCGACGCTCCCAGTGGATTTAAATGGAAGGTAATTTTTAAACAAACGAATGCTTGCTAACTTGGCTAACTTTAGCATTAGCATGTAACATAACCACAACACAAACATCTCCGTGAACCCAACACTCGCAAAAGATGCTACACATACAAATATGGCGTTTGTTTAAACTAATCTTTAGCTAGCCCAATGGGTGCCTTGTGTGTCGGAAATATGTTTTAATAGACAAAGCTTCTGTAACCAACACTAAATACGATTACGATTGAGCTTTACGGCTGTAATCACCGAGATGTATCCACTCAGATATAACGTACCAGGCAGTCAAGGCCGAGAATTATCAGGAAGAAACACCGTTACTCACACCATGAACCATTTATATAACGTTAAAAGTGTGGCGAATATAACTTAACAGCTGGTTAACTACATAGTCTTAACTAAGTTTATCTTAAATATTGAACTTTTTTCTAGCTTGTAAATTCAGGATTATCACTGTGACTACAATTTCCTCTAAAAGCGGAACCAAATTATGTTGTTTCTCTGTTTTGAGTTGCATACGTCTAAAGCTAAAGTCTTGGGCTGGTTATTAATGTGCTTGTGCGGCTTGTTTTGTTTCGGACGTAGCCCTGCTGTGCTCTGTGGAGCGACCATCCAGGTGCAAAGCGTGTTACCTGGTAATTCAAGATGTTAACCGAGATGTATGACTATGGTGTGGTTGTGTATAGTTGTGTATGGCCCTGAAACTACTACTTCTGTATTGAGCTAAATATATATTTGATAATATGTAACTATTTGAGCGGCTGTGTTATGTATGTCCATTATAAAGGCACTTAATAATGTGCCGTTACGGCTTAGTTTTTGTATATCAACGGGTGGGTACCGTGCTTCAGATGATAAACCACAGAGTTGTCTTCAGATGTCAGACGCAGACACACTTTACATTTCGTTGTCTTCATTTCTGACCATTGGAAATGCAGGAAATGTGAAATTGTTTATGTGAAGCCTTGTAAGCACATATTTCTGACAGTCTGAAAATCGGAAGCCACAACTAAACAGCAGGAAAATATAGTACTTGTCATGACATTTTAGTATCGTAACACCTCTAGTAAAAACTGTAGTAAAAGCTGACATAATCCAAGACCAAAATAGTGTGTGGATTAAATCAAATGTAAATAGTGAATTGAATTGTTTGCTTTCACAAGATTCCTTGGATTAAAGTGGATGTTTTTAAATGTCATAGTAGTTTAATATCATACATTCTCCTTTGTTTATGGTATTTTTTTCTTAATACAATAAATGCTTGTGATAAAAGCATAAATACAGGATAAAAAGGGCTTTTAATGTAAGACATGTACAAAGAAAAATATGTCATGAGCAAATTGGTAATCACCATTATCAGTTTAGATCAGTTTAGACCTGATGTCAATAACGCAATATTGGCTGATATAATAACCTATATTGCAATAAAACAAATATATCATGACAACACAAGGTTCCCCATTTTGCAGGAAATAATTGTTTTTGAGCAAAAAGGCAGATTGTATTCATGAGCTCTGGTTTTGGAAGTAAATCTTCAATTAATTATTCCCATTGAAAATGTCAGATACCAAGAGAAGGAACAACTAAGGCTAATCCGCTATGTAGTAAGCACAGTTGTCAAAGAAGTACGTTTAAAAAGCAAGATTCGGCTAAATGTTTAAATAAGCAGTTCTGAAAACAGATATTTACATACACTTACAGGTCTTGTGTTTAGCCCTGAGAGAGATGACATAGTTTGACTAGTAAATGAAAGCATGTACATTTTTGTTTTAATTTAGCTGATATCATTGGGGCAAAGTATATATTAACATATTGCAATAATATAATTATTGCAAGTTATAGAATACTACTTGTTTTTGCTCATATTGTCCTAGTTAATATTAGAAGTCAACTGTGATATTTGAAGCATTATAGAAATGTATAGTTGTCAAACATAATTTTAAATGGTGATCAGTCAACCAGTGTAGTGCTGCTTGGTTTAGCGTCTAGAGTCTAGTGTGTGTGCTCTTTGTACTCTGTATCTCTCCTATGCTTGTGTGATGACGGGGCCACAGCAGGATAATTGTCTATCAGTGAAAGCCTTCAACATGATCATTTCTCTGGTAGCAACGGGCCCATGCTGCCACTGGCACATGCTCCCTTTTCACTTTTTGTTGAAACTGGGACAGAGTGGCTGTGCATAGACTATTTATGGAGCATCCTCAGGGCAGCCAGTCACTGCAAGTAATGTGGCACAGATTCATGATAGAAAACAGTTTTCAGATCCTTCTAGAAAAAAATGTCCTTTTAGTCAGGGTGATGGTTAGTCATGGTCTAATTTTATTCTGATAAGACTTTCTTATTCACAGCTGCCGATTGACAAACTCCATGGATGCTGCGGAATACTCCACTGAAAGCATGACAGGTATGTATAATGCTGTCATCATGTGTATGTTGTTTCATAAATGCATGTATGTCTTTATGGAATAAAAGATAAAACTGTGCTTTTATTTTCATTTGCCTTATAGAGTTTTTTCCTGTGGTTTTGACAGGCTAAAGTTCATGAGGTATTAATGAGTTTAATGGGAGTCATGTGCACTGACACCACAAGCAAAAGTTCAAATTAGGAGGCATAAAAGAAGGCTATTTAGTGTTCTCTGCTTGGACATTAAATATTATTGATGCACAACATTTTTTTTCATCTAGTACTCTGATATCCCTGGTTAAAATAAAATCTTAAAATAAAAAAATAAAAAAAGTTAATCAATGGTTTGTTATGCTTCGATTGAATTGTTTGATCAAATCACATATAAAAATACTGTATTTGTGCTCAGCTCCATTCTTTCCTGCAAAGATGTCTCCAGTCAAAGTTCTCACCATGAAAGACTATGAAAATGTAAGTAATTTGTGGTATGTCAGAGAATCCTGGGGTAAATTTATTTAACACAACATTCTAAATGGGTCAAAATGGGTATTAGTATGTTAATGTTAAATATTTAGTCTAGAGTTAGGTAGATCATCAGTTATGTTGTTATTACAAAATTTGTCTTCTATACCTTCATATGCATTTATACATAATGCTAGTGCAAACAAAGAAGAATACAATCAATATTGAGCCCATAAAATGTGTTTCATTTTCATAAAAAATCATAGGCCATAGTAAATGGCCATAGTAAACTTTGTGATTCCTCAGTAGGAAAGATACAATAATGTGGATCAAGAAAATCATTATTAAAATCACTATTAGTATTGTTTTAGTACATTAGGGGTTTGTTGACATGTGGTTCTTGTGTGTTGACTAACTAAAGGACATGATTTTATAGTGGTCTAGATTTTTACCTTCTCTCTTCATTTTGTACCCAACCCCCACTAGCAGATGTGTGATTCCCAGTGCCCAAGCACAATGCTGCTCAGTCTATTACACACACGCGCACACACACATTATCTCACACTCGCATTGTCTCACACACACATCATCACACACTCGTAATACACACACATATACACATATACATACACATGCCCCCCCTTCAGTAAAAGAATAACCATGTATTTTGCTTTCATTACTAACACCTACACGTTTTTTGCATGCAATCCAGTGTGTAGTTTTGCTATTAAAATTGTATTGTATATTTGTTTTTATATTTTATGCAGCAAATTACAGCTCTGAAGAAAGAAAACTTCAACCTAAAGCTGCGAATTTACTTCATGGAGGAACGCATGCAACAGAAATGTGATGACTCCACTGAGGACATTTTTAAAATGGTGAATTACAAAAATAGCATATAGTTTACCAAAATGTGTTATTATATTTAGTATGGTGCCATCTTGCATTGTTGAATTTAATTTAATCATGTTTATTTTCTTTATTAGAATATAGAGCTGAAGGTTGAGCTGGAGTCTATGAAGAGAGAGATGGCAGAAAAGCAGGAGCTTCTGGTCTCTGCTTCGTAAGTGATCTTCACTCCACTTTTTCATCATTCATCTGTGTGGGAATTAACTAAATGTGTGTGCCCTGGAAATGTCAGAAAAGCTTTGGAGACTTTTGCGAGCCGTGATTCACGAGAACCTCATCAAGTGAGAGAGCAAGCTCAGAAAGAGATTGATGCTCTTCGCGATGCTTTCAACAAAAAAATAGCAGATTTGGAGCAGGTTGGAACATCTTACACGAAAATGTAGGTAAAGATCACGTATTATACATTTTTGGTAATTTTAATATTTTGTCACCACAGTCTTTGCAAGCTGCTGAGTTGGAGATTGATAGGATGGCATCGATAGCTGAACAAGAAAAATGTAAAAGTATCAGCATGGAAAAACAGCTTCAGGTCTTAAGTGCTAGCAATTCAGCTTCTTATCCTAACCAAGTTTACGACCTGCGGCAAGCCCTGGAGGAGAAAGACAAGTCAGTACATGGCAAAAAAGTTATTGACTTATGGACCTGTTTTTTCACTAAGTTATTCTTCTTCTCTTTTTAACTCCCCACAGTATCATTGGCCAACTCAAGGATAGTTTAAATGAAGCCAATTTACAGGTGAAAAACTGTGTTGAGCAAACAAGAGATGCGCCATCAGCAGACCAAGTCAAACAACTAACTGATCTTATCACAAACAAAGAGTTAGAGCTTGAGGTACGGTTGTTTAAGTGTGCTTAATCATACATTTAGAACATTCTGCCCAGCTCTTGTAATTACATTACAATCACATTTTCTTTTTCTTCAGTCTTTAAGAGGTGAACTGCAAACAGAACGAAACAAAGTTCCTTCAGAACCTCAGGTTAGTTTTTTAAAATCACAAATATTTTTTAATAACATTGTTAGTCTGAACTTATATTGAAGATAGGGATGTAAGATAGGGATGTAACAATATCCAAGTTAAGACACAAAAGACTGGATAGAGGCTAATATCTGTGTTCCGTGTGCTGTAGACATTTATAGTGTATTCAGAATTGCTCTGAAATGTTTGACTGTAAATGAGGTTTAGTGGTGTCTCTCTGCTGTGTATACTTGTCAGTTCAAGAGAAATGAAGACTAAAATCTAAGGGAAAGACTAAAATCAGTGTTTTGATCTAAAATTATGTAAGGCTGAAGTGTAATGGTTGTTATATGTTGCAGTATTACTGTTCTTTTGTGCCCCCTGGATTGTTGACACTTTGAACAGTGCATGAAAGAGATCTTCAAAAAATTATTCTTGTTAACATCACTGCATCACTTTAGGGTTATCCTATGTCAGCGAGGGAAATGGAAAGCAGGATCAGGGATTATTAAGAGCTTAGGCTTACACTGAACTGTGCCGTCATTAAGCTTTGGCCTCTTTGTGATGCATAAACTTGCTGTTGCTGCTAGTTGCTTGTCAATGTTGCAGCATCATTGTTTGTTTCATGTTGAACTGCTTTATTTACGTGAGAGGTGAATCAGAAGATGAAGGACCCGTGTCGTATTTGTCGGGCTTGTCTGGTTGGAAACCAGTGTCGCTGGATCTTTAGCCCTTCTACCAAAAACAAGCTACAGGTGATACTGTCTCATGTGCTGCGAAGAGAGGTGACCCGTGATGGTCGGGGTGAGTTTCTGTGTGGGAAATGTGTGTTTCAACTTGAGAAGATAGTGAAATGTGATGCGGACATCATCCATATACAAGATGACTACAACATGCGCATCAAGAGACTTCAAGCTGAAAAAGACCACCTTATACAGTGCATGATGCATGTATACAAAAAAAACAATCCAGACATGGACAAGAATGATGGGGAAAGCTGTTCCAAAAGTAAACTTATGTCACCGTCTGTTAGCAGTTCTGATAATCAAATTGTTGGTCAACAGACCACTGAAGGCCATTGTCAAGATACAGGAAGAACAAACCCGAAGAGTCCTATGAGAAGATGTGTGAGTTTGGACAGAATAGCTGGTAAAAGTATAGGGCACTGTGGCATAAAGTTTGGATCAGAGTATCAAGATCCCATAAGGTCTGATAGTGTTCGAGGCACACGACATCGTTCACAAAGTATGTACTTTGACTTGGTCCATCGCAAATGTCCACAGTCCAGGTACGGATTTAAAGGACACTTTAAATCGCTGCAGTCGCTCAATAGAGACTTTGCTTCAGATTATATGTCTACACTGAGACCTAAAACAGTCAAAGGCTTAAATAGACTCAACTCTGCTGTTGGTTCTTTGGAAAAGTCTCAGACCACGGTCCAGAGCTCGACTCAACCCTCGATTGTCTCTGATGTGATCCAGCTCTTGTGCTATATCACTACACATCAAATCTCTGTCCCAGCGGGGAGCCGTATTCCTATCCTAAGAAGAATCAGTATCACTCGTCTCCATCCTCCCTCAAACTGCAGACATAAAGATAACAAGATTCTGCATGAATTAGCAGAAGAATTTGATGATCAGTACACGCCTGTTAGAATGGAGGTAGTTTGTTTTTGTGCTCACTGATTGAAGGCTACATTGCACATCATGATCTCTGTAAAGGCCACTACACACTATAGGAGAATTTGCGTGATTTCGGCTACAATTTACTTCTCCCTAAGTTCGGGGAGGCGTGACCCGACTTTGTGTCTTTGTGTGCAGTTTTGAAGCCACTGCGCTCCTCGTGTGTATGTGTAGTGTTAGTTTGACTCTGAGCAGCTCTTTCAGATTGTAACCACCAAACATCAGCGATGCTACGTAATGGCCAATAAAACAGAGCTTCTGGGGCAGACACAGGCGCAAAAAAAACTTGCGAAAATAATTATTTCTCACTTCTCCTAAAGTTTCCTAAATTCTCCTAAATTTAAACTGCAGCATCTCATCCACAATATCCATAGACATTGTCGTCTGCAAATAATGAGACCAGTACACAAAACCACGCTATTAATCCAATTTGAAGTGTTAAAGGTAAAAAGGCGACATTAGTTCCTCATGTGTCTCTGTTTACATCCATGCAGCATGCGGATTGGGGTGAAGCTTCATGCGGATAAACGATAGAGACTGTGACTGCTCTTTGAACACTTAAGAGTTGTCGAGTCGTTTTACTTTAGACAGGAAACAGCTGACGGGAGGCACACTCACAACTTTAGGCTGTTTATACAGCCATATCCCGCAGCAGTCTTTGCGATTGGAGAGTAAAAATTTTATAAGATTCTCTTCATGTCTGTGGTGTGCCTTTTTTGTCACAATTTTCAAAATCATTTAAGAAAGAAAAATCCTGTAGTGTGTGGCGGCCTTAAGAGCTAGAAATGTTTTTGTTCTCTATGTAATTTTATTTATTTATTTTTTTTAGGTGAATGAACTTCATCGTTTGAAGTCTCTCAACCAACAACTAAGTGAGGAGGTTACCCAAGCAAGAAATTCCAATGAAATCCTCTCTAAAACACTTGAAGACATCAAGAATGAAACTATGGTATTTTGTGTTTTATATTACATATTTTGATATGCTAACTGTTGTTATGTTATTTATCTGCAATATATATTTGACTAATAAAGCACATACATTATGTCTAAACAGATTCTGACTCAAAAGTTAGAGGAAAAAGAAAATGAACTAAATTCTGAGAAGAAAAATGCACTCAAGAGAGACAAAACAATTCAAGGTCTCACGCAGATCCTTAGTGAAAAAGAAAATGAGGTGAGTTTACAATCGATCTTCTGCATCGCACATTACAGTTGCTGACAAAGTTGCTCTGTTCTGGAATGTGTCATCACCTGGGCCTGTCAGTAGAATAAAAAGAAATGTTTGTCAAAAACTGAGGCTACGCCATGAGCAGGTGCACACTAATCACAGACAGCATTACATTTTACAACATAGAAAAATCATATTGATCTTCTGTTGTGCACATGTGAAATAGATTATATAAATATATATTTATATATATTTGATGTGGCTATGAATTTAGCTGTGATTATATGCAGTGGAAGAGAGAAATGTATACAGGCATTGCTATAATCTATAGATAAATTATACATATATAAAATGTATCACCTTACATACAGTATGCACTCTTAATAACCTTTGGTGGATGATTCAGAGAAACACTAGTATCTTTGTTAAGGAAGCAGGCGGCAGACAAGCACACAACAATCTACATAAGATCAGGTCCACAAACAAAAACTGAACTATAACCCATTATGATCTGTGGCTAAACAAAGATTGCAGAGCTGTGTCATGAGATTGAAGATCGGGATGAAGCACTATCAAAAGCAAGAGAAACAGCACACAAGGCCCAGCTACAAAAATACCAGGTAGATCTCTAACTTTTGTAATTTTGTTTAGTTAAGTTATTCTTTATCACATGTAATTGTAGTGCAATTTTCAGGGAGCTGAAGAGTATCAGAATCTATTAATGGAGAAGCAAACAGAACTGGCCCAGCTCCAAGGCGAGCATCATACCAAGGTATTGGAGACTCAGAAGCTCCAGCGTGCACTGGACAGGAAGGAACTGGAGTTGGCTGGTCTACAGCAGGCCAAGGATCAACAGGAGATAGAACTGGAGGACATACAGCAGCAAAAGAAGAAAGGAGACAAAGCCCTCAATGTGAGTTAAATAAATAAATATATATATGTATGTATGTATATGTATATATATATATATATATATATATATATATATATATATGTATATGTGTGTGTGTGTGTGTGTGTGTGTGTGTGTGTATATATATATATATATACATATATACATATATATACACATACATATATATATATACACACACACACATATATATATATATACACACACATATATATATATATACATATATATACATATATATACATACACACGCACACATTTATATACATTTAATTATTGCAGGACCTAAACAATCAGCTTAAAAAGCTAAATGGGGATATAAAATACAGAGAAAGTGCTTTAGAGCAGCAATACCAGGAAGCACTGAATCAAACAAAACAAAAGGTCCTTGCCCATGAAGCAACCATCCAACGGCTTACAACTTCTCTAATGGATAAAGAACAACAGCTACAAGTAAGACAGAATACAAGACGACTAACTACTCTACTTCCGGCACGTTTTATTGTTTTATTATTTTTCTTGTGCATTATTTTCAGGAATACATAAACATGCTCAGAGACTTTGAGCACAGCAAATCTTCAGAGGGCATTGATGGAATGCTCTCCATGCTGCGACAAAGACTTAAAGAGAAGGATAAAGCACTGGAGGTGAGTAAATTGTAAAGTTATTTAAATCAGTCATGCTCTTATATATATTTTGTTTTTTTTAAATATTAGCAAGCCTTGGACGAAAAGTTTGCTGCAATCGAAGACAAAGATAATGAGATACACATGTTGCAGCTGTCTTTAAGGGAGAAAGAACGAGACTTGGAAAGACTGAACAATTTAGTTTCCCACAATGAAGAGACTATTAATGTGAGTAGATAGTATTTTTGACTGATGTTTTTTTAAATAGCTTAATAAACTTTGCTATATTCTATAGAGTCTTGATACTATGATAAAGGAGAAAGATGTGGAATTACAGCATCTTGCCAACACGTTGAAGAATCTGCAAAGATCTAAACAAGAAATAGAAGATAACTTGAGTCGATCCTTACGGGAAAAGGACGCCATCATCAGTCAGCTTAAGTTGTCTTTAGAAGGCAAAACTAAACATTTGGAGGTCAGCTGAAAATAATTATGTGTTCAGTGTTCATAATATAAAATTCTGCAAACCCAAAATAATTCCCCAGTCACATTTTAATATATTATACATTATCTTATTTTAGGAATTGACCACCTCAATGCTGAATCAGTTCCAAAGTCACCCTAAGGACCTTGATCAACAGATGAGTCAAAGGCTGAAAGTTGCTGAGGCTATGTTGGCGGAATCTGTTAAAATAAGGGAAAGATTGATTGCTGACAACGAGAGTGCTGTAGAAGGGCTTCTGGTTACAATTAACAGCAAGGATCAACTTCTCAAGGTTATTCATAGATATTCACTATTATATCATTTATATTTATTACCATTGGCAAAGGATCTTTCCTGTTATGCCATTGTAATTACCTGGATGCTTTTTGTCTTTTCAGGAGTCAGGTGAACATTACAAGTACATGATGTCTCAGCGCACTCAGGAGGTTGACGATCTAAGGAAGCAGCTCTCTGACCAACAGCAGCACCTTAACACAGTTGAGAAGCAATGCTCAGCCAGGACACAGAATGCTCTGTCAGAGGCCGCAGAGCTCAGAGCCCGACTGGAGGAAAAAGATGGTCTCATAACTGTAAGCTCAATACAAGACTGTCTTTTGACTTCCCCTACTTTACCCTGCATATATTGTTTGTAAAATTTATAGAAGCTTCTTCAACAAGCAAAGGACAGAGACCAGTATTCAAATGAGATTAGGCAAAAGGAGGAGTCGGCTCATGTTCTGGAGCTTAGACATACCATTCAGATTATGCAGGAAAAACTAGATGAAAAAGAAGGTGAGATGTCTCATTAAAATTTTATTTGAAACTGTAAACAATAAAATTGTGTTGTGAATGAATTTTGTGGATATTCCTATTTTTCCCCACAAGCTGAGCTGTCAACAAAGACTGGAGAAAATAAAGATGACAATATTCCACTCCCAAAGAAAAATATCCTTAAGAAAGAACTACTTCAAACAACCGAAGCACTGAACAATGCACTTACAAGAGAGGCTGAACTGAAGGTGAACTAAATTTGAATATAAAAAAAACATTATAGATAAAAAAAAATAAATTTAAAGTGTATGTTTGAGTTGACTTTGAGTTCTAACTGCTAAATGCTGTTTGGTTTCATTTGCAATATTACAGTTATTATTAAATGATCTTGAGGTTTGCTGTGAAAGTAAAACTGCAAAAATTGAGTTCCTTACTGCCACTCTACAGATGAATAATGAGACTATCAGTGTAAGAAACTGGAACAATTTCTTTTAAGCAGAAGAAATGAATTGTATGAATAATTGCATTATTTCCACAGACACTCCGCCAGCGTATCGGTCAAAAGTCCGAATGTTTAGAGGAGGATGCCCATGATCAGGCCACTGACTGTGGAACAGAGAGATTTCTTCCTAAGCTTCCACAGAGAGAGCGAACCATGATTGGTGGAGATAACGAACAACAGGTAATTTTAATTAAAGTCTTTAGAAAATATAATCATTCTATACTAGCATTGCCATGACATATCATATCACCATTTTTTTTTTTTTTTATTCACTTACTTTAGACTGTTCCCAGTTTTAAAGCCCTTCAACAGGAACACGAGGCTCTCAACAGAGCCTTGAAGGCAGAACAGCAGCTTTATTCTAGTTTGGTTCGGACAGTTAAAGAGCAGGACAGGTAGGAAAAATGCTAATGACTCCGGACAGATTCAGTATAAAAATGTATAACAGTAACATAAGTTTTTTTTTTTTTTTTTCAGCGCCCAACGTCTCCACGCTCTACAGCTAGAGCTGACAGCTGTGCAACTCCTTCGACAGCAATTAGAGGAAAGCATCAAAACTAATGATGAACTTAGAGATGACCTGGAAAGAGAAATGCACAGAGCCAAACTTAGAGAAGGTGCAGTGCAAACACACTTTGTTGCAGATGAGGTTGGAAATGAAATAAAAACAAACATTTTAGGTTAAGCAAAGTTGAGCAAATGGAACTTTGTTTGACCTCCATGTACAAACTTCTAATCTCATTTCGTTTTCCCTGAACATCCTTTTTCTCAACTTGTCTATGTTGTCTGTCTGTTAAATGTTTGTTCTTTCATCTTTCCATAAACCTGCATGTTGTTCCAAGCATGAACCAATGTCATAGTCCTGTAACTATCCTTCTCATTCTTAACCTGTCTAACGAAAATAAAGACCATAGTCTGTTTTTCGCATTGTTACAATCACTTTTATTATCATGACTGAGTTTGTGACAATATTCCAATCCTATAAAATTTGTTATTGGATAATAGTTTACAAATTATTGTTAAGGGTAATGCACTTGAAATAAAGGAATTTTATCTTGTGACATCTACTTAATGTTGTTATAGAGCATTAATTCACAGTGCCATGGGGCAGAGGTTAAGGGTGATTAAACGCATCACAACCTCTGTGTGCCTTTCTGATCCCTCCACTTGAGTCTCAAATCTATAAATAGGAAGTGTGTTCAGTCCTAGACTCACAATTACATAACACATTTGAGTTCTTAAATCTACAGAACGCAGCAGTGTATTTCTTATTTTGTATAAATGTGACCTCTTGTATTCAATATACTGCTTTTTGTATAGTTTAAGGCACGGTATTTTTTAAATATTCTTACGTGCTCTTCTGTGCAGTTGTACAGCATTCAGAAATCTATTTAGAATACTCACGTTATTTTTTTTTTCTTCTACAGGTATGGACCTTATTGACCCTAAGGAGCTTGAGAGCATGAGAAACCAATTAGAAGATGCACAACGGTGGAATGTGTCACTGCAGGCTCGCTTGGGGGCTATCCAGAATCGTGGAGGAGGTGTGGGTGGAACCAATGATGGTGGGTGATAGATCAAGGACAGGACATGTGATATTTTCAGTAAATTCATTGTGTAAAGATGCACTTTGTGTTTCTGTCCTGCAGGTGACTCCTTGACTTTCTTAGGTGACCAGACATCGTATTTGAGCATTTGTGTTGGAGAAGAGCAGGATGACAATTTGTCCCAGTTGACCTCCCAGGAGCTTAGGGAAAAGGTTAACACAGCATTTATTTTTGAATTTTATTTATTTGTTTCAGACAGGGACAGCGCACAATTTTTACATTAACCTTGACAGGAGAGATGCATTGTACCAGGTTGTAGCACCAGTGTTAATTTCCACCTGTAGTCCTTGTGCGGGTTCATTGATTGATTGTATTTAATTGACCTTGGCTATCAACTGTTCACTGTGTATGTATGAAACAGAAATAAGTAAAGCCTTCATTCAATGTATTTTGTTTCAGGTGACAGAACTCCAGGACTATATTAGTAGACAGAATGCTTTGAACAGAGACCTGCAGAACAGATTGAGCTTGCTGGAAAAGTCATATCTTAAAAGTCCTGATAAAGACGAGCTGAAGATGGGATCACAGATCTTTTGGAAGCAGGTTAGCATAAGAAGGGCGCTGTTGGTAACCTTATAATCTTCAAAACAACATAAACCTAACAAGTATGCAGATGTTCCTGCAATAATTTCTATACATCTATCGTATTAATTCCTTTCGATAATGTGACCCTTTTGTCTTAATCCTTAAGTTTCTCAAGCATGTTGTGTTTTGAACCTAATATAGTTGTATGTTATGAACTGCTTTCTTAGATAATTAACAAGCCTCTTAACAGTAGCTCAAGCTGTCTCCTCTCTCCTTTACCTCTCCTAACTTGTTTCCTTTTATCTCTGTGTCCCATAAATTGGTCTTGTTGCCACACCACATTAGACGCACCATGCCATTCAGTTGTTGCTGTGCAGTGTTTTATTGATTCTGTTCCACCATTATTTTTTTCTTTATCAAATCATCTGCATCATCCTCGCTTCCATGTCATTATCCTAGCAGCCTTTGACTCACCAGGATAAAGAGAGCCAGACAGATGCCACACTGGAACCGGTATGATAGTGGTCTTTGTTCTCAAAACCAAAATAGAACATTTTGAGCTAAAACAGTATTGTATCATTCCCAAATTAGAATATTTGTGGAGATTTTAAAAGTATAGTTGATGAAACTAGAGGACAAACTCGGTCTGGCTGTGACACAAAAGACAAGGATCACTGTGTGGATGATATTACAATTTCAAATCCATTCGATAAAGCCTGCTCTGAATCATGCTTCAAGTGAGTCTATCCAAATAATTACCTTATACTGTGGCTGGTTCTCTTTTCTGAATTATATATTTTTTCCTTATTTACAGAGAGAAACTTGTTAAAACTATACAACTAAAAGAAAAAACATCACACGAATCAAAAGAAGAGTGTGTGGAGGCCTCAGGGGAGTGCATTGATGCTGTGAGTCAGGCACATAAAACTGGAGAAATGCCCCAACCCCAAAAAATTGTAACATCAAATGGCCAAACAAAATCTAACAAGACTGGTACTCAGAAAGCTTACACCAAAGAGCTAACTGCGCAGTCATTTACTGGAAACTCAAAACTCAAAACTGGCACAAAATCTAGTCACACAAAGGTTTGGGTAAGATAATATGTAATTTGTCACTATTTTAATGTGTACAAGTTTGTCTTATTCAGTGTATTTTTTTAGGCTTCACAATCTCGACTTCCTGTACCTGTGAGGCGAAGATATGAAGCTACTGGTGGTGCACTTGAACATCAACTTTTAGATGTGGCCCATGGAAGCGATCAGCAAATTCTCTCCTCAGATTCCCTCTCATCACAGTCTTGCCCCTCCTCCCTTGATGCACTTGTGTCCAACAGTAGCTTCGAGGTCAAACAAAACTCTTGCAGCACCCTGCCCGATGTCCCTTCAGCAACACAGTTAGAGATACTTCAACAGCAGTGCCAGGATAAGGAGGTATTAATCAGTGAACTTCATGAAAAACTAGCAGACTTGAAGGAGCTCCAAACCCAGCTTCAAGAAAAAGAGCGACTTAATCTTCAGTATACAGAGGCCCTCCAGGCAGCTGAGTCCACTATTGCATATTTAACTGCTTGTAGTCTAGATAGCCAGGGTGCTCTTGGGTCTAACCTAAGTGGTTCAAATGCCACACTTCAAAACAAATGCATAGAACTTAAGCATGCCTTAAATGAGAAGGTAGAGTATATTTGTGAGTTAACAGAACTACTTCAAGAAGCTGACACGGTTTCAAATTCATCAAAAAGTAATGGTCCAAATCATGATATCACTGATCTTGATATCAAAGCTGTTTTGCAGAGAAATGCCTGCAGCAAAAAACAGAACCAAGATGACTTATCTGGATCTAGTAATGAGCTGCCTTCAAATGCACAGTGGGACAGCAACTCTGCAGTGCTGACAAAGATATTACAAACTGCTGATTCTGTTGGGAGAGATGGCCAAAATGATAGTTCAAATAAAACACCATCAGAGCAGTTTGAGGCTATAGGTTCTCACATGAGCGATTCACAAAAAAGAATTGTGGTTGTCCTAATGAACTGTCTCAATGCCACTAAGTCTGCCATTGCATCCCTGACTGCTCACTGTACAAACAGCTCATCAGTGACATCTACTGAGCTGCAGACATGTCTGGATAAGTTAAAGAAGGCATTCAATGAAAAAGAAACCCTAGGAGACATCACATTGCTTAGTATTGAAACTAGCGATGCAGAGTGCTCCAGCTCACCTCAAATGAAAGATCAGTGCCCACAAGGTCCTCATCACAACCTACAAGTCCTGTATGAAGTCTTTAGCAGCCTTCAACAAAAAATGTTGGAACTCCAGGCCTCACAAAAGAGCTCAGATGGGCAGAGACCTTTACAAAACACCAAGGCACTACCACCGAATGTGCAGAACCAGATCGAGACTCTTCACAAGGAACTGAGAGAAAAAAGAAAGATCTGCAAAAACCTAGAGGAGAAACTAGCCACGGCACAGTCCAAAACACCAAGTCCAGGAGCTACTCATAATGGTAAGATGTACCCATATTTCCTGTCCTTTTCACTTGTTTACATGTTTTAATGTGATATCAATGAACCCAATAATTACATGTTGTCTTGCCTCAAATGGTAGCACTGAAGCAAGATGAGAAAGGCGTGCAGGTGGATTTGCAGGACCTGGGTTACGAAACGAGTGCCAAGAGTGAGAACGATAGGGAGGAGAGCAGTAGCACAGGTAGCTAGCTCTCAGGCAGCCTATCTAAAAACTAATGGGGTTATCTCCGCATGAAGAGTGGACAAAATCTGACTATTTGCTCTTTTCTGGTTGGGTCTAATAATAACTGCTGCACTGTTCCTGGTTTTAAGTTTAACGTTTCTCATTGACAAAAACTGCATGTGTTTTCTCTAAGAATGTCTTGCTTGCTCATTATCAAATATTGTAGAATGCCTTCTGATGTGTTTGTTTTTTTGTGTCACAGATTTGGAGGTCGGATTTAAACCTATTTGCGGTGCAGCTAGTCTGCCTTCCCTCTTGAAGCAGGAACAGGCAATTTTTTCCTCTACAGAAAACCTTTACTCAGCATCCAGCACATACCCTACATCCCCCGTTCTAAGCTCGGCTAAGGTTAACCAAAAAATGAACTCTGTTGTCCAGCATTGTATTAGCACATGCTAAATGTGTTTATTTAGAGTTAATTGTTGGTTATTTCCTTTCTAGGCAAGCATAAAAAGTTTGCGTAGAAGCTCATTATCCAGTGATGTGGTTGCCAGCACATATGAACCTTCAGCAATTAGAGAAGAGGACCATGCACAACCCCATGATGAAGAAATGGATAATAGAGCCATGCATTTAAGAGGAACAGCCCTTAAGGACAAAACAAACTGCCTGAATGTTAGCTCTGAGAGAAGAGCGTCACTTAGCCTAAGTGACCTGCTCCATAGTCGAAGTGGCTCAACATCACCTGCCAGGTTTGATTTCACTAAATTCTTGATTTAAGTACAACTATTGTAACACTGTTGTTTATCCACCACAGACTGGAGTCACTGATTCAGTCTCAGGCCAGAGAGCTGTCCCAGCTGAGACAGGAGATCAAGGACAGTCGGAGGCTGGGCGCCCTGCAGCGGCAGCAGCTTGAAGACTTGGGCAAGGCCTTTAGTAATCTGATACAGTCTGCTAAATTGGACAACCTCATGGGGGAGGAGGTCAAAAAGCAGCTTGACAGAAGCATTGCAATTATGGACAGTTTGGAAGGACGTCTTGATAGAAGTCAACAGCGTTCAGAGGGTAATTTATTTTATTTGTACATAATCTTGCTGTTATTGTATATAAACATACATGACACATGGATACATGGAAAATCTTTATTCATGGTTGCAGCAAATAACTTTCTAGTTTTAGTGACCAAACGTCCTTGTCAAAGCCTCATCTCCTCAAATCTCAGAAGCTAAGCAAGGCCTGGCCTGGATAGTACTTGGATGGGAGATCACTGGCAAAATCAAATGCCACAGTGGGGCGCCAGTGGCAAAAAACTGTTGTGTCCTTAGTCAAGACATTTCACCCACATTGCCTGATATGAAAGTGTTGGTTGGACAGGCAGATGGTACAGACCGGCAGAGTTGCTTCTGTCAGTCTGCCCCTGGGCTGCTGTGGCTACAGCAGTAACTTACCAACACCAAGTGTGAATGAATGAATAATGCACGAAATTGTAAAGTGACTTGGGTTGTGTTTGGAAAAGTGCTGTGTAAGACTAATGCATTATTAGATTTATCTGTACAATTCTGTCACATTTTTCTAGACTCTTGTGCATCGATTTAGTTGCTGTGAGCATAACTTGTTCAAGTGTTTTACAAACCAATCACATAATTGTTCTGCTGTTCAACAGGAGAGTCTCTTTTGGGGAGTGAACACAGTGCAAAAGTCTCACACAGGTACGTTATTCTTTCTATGATCATGTTCAGCATGCTTTTTATTGAATTAAACAGGAAGAGGACAAAAACAAACCACTGCTATAGCAGAAGCACTTCATTTAAAGTCTGTCAATTATTAGTTTGCTTAATAAATGGTCGTTTGGATGTGACATACTATTGTATCATTGTCCCTGATGTGAGCAGTGATGAGGAACATGCTCCTCCTGACAGCCCAGCTCAAATACAGCAGGAAATAGATAGACTACGAGTGGATCTAGAAGATGAAAGGGAGTTGCTACAGCAGCATGTCAGCCTCTTAGTCCACCAAAACCTCATCCTGGCTGATTGCACTAGGGACCAGCTGGACCTGTGAGTTAGTTGCAGACGTAGTGTGCAGTGATCTTTTTCTTTCCTAATGCCAATTTATTTCCTGGAATTAGTAAATTAGCCTCTAGTGCCTCTAGTTTCTTTCAAAAACTGTGTTCATCGTTTCTGTTCTGGTGATACTTTATTATTCTCTCATTCATAATGAGATAACACATTTTACTCAATTTGAATTATTCAGGTTAACTAAGGAGCTGCAGGAGAAGAACCGTCTCATCCAAAACTTGCAGAGTCAAACCACTGACCAAAGTCCAGGCAGTCACCATAGCTCTCATTCTAATTTGCACCACATAAACAAGACCTGCTCATCTTCCCATAGCAGCCAGGAGTCCAAACCAACACAGAGTAAGTTTATGCAACTCATAATACGTCACTGTGTAAATTTTTTTCCCATTATCAAATGTATTTCAAATGAGTGATTATACCCATAATAAATGAATGTATATTTAATCATGCATAATTATTAGTATAATATATATGGACAACTGTTAATTATCCAGTCACACTCCAGTGAGATTAGTGGTGCTTAGATGCAGCTTTTAACAGCACTTCCTTTACAGATACTTACTGATGCACATAGAACAATACATGGTGAGGAGCACAGCGGGTGTCCAGTTACAGTCCACCTGCTCTTAAAGTTGCATTATTCAGTGACACCTATCCAATTTAATGTTTTAACACAAATTTCTTTATGAATTAAATACGATTATCAATGAGAATCATAATTGGAGTAGTTTCAAAGCAGCTTTCCCTTAGCTTTCTCCTTGTTAATAGCCCATGTACAGCACTTAGCCTGCTCTTCATGTTACATTGTCCAGGCCGACCGCTCTCAGCTGAAGGGGGTGGAGTTTTGGAGAGGGGTGCCTCTGATCACGGTGACACTGTTAGCAGACTACAGGGCCTGCACAGGGAGAATGTTCGGCTTCAGGAACAACTGAGGAGCAGCGAGCAGCTCAATACCACGCTGCGTAGTGAACTTGACCTGCACTGTACCATCATGGCTCAGAGTAGCTCACAGGGCCGTGGTGAGTCCGGGCTTGAAGCCAGACTAGGGGCAGACAGCAGTTCTCCAAGGGACTGTCCACTCACTTCAGGTGCTAACATATCTGTTGTTAGGTCCATATTATTGTATAAGTAATAATAATACAATACATTACACTTTAAACTTTTTGGAATTCTTCACAGACCTACTAGCAGAGCATTTACAAGAAATCCGAGCTCTCCGTCGTCATCTTGAAGAAAGCATCAGAAACAATGACAGCCTAAGGGAACAACTGGAGAAGAAGCTTGCAGAGGCACACCAAGACTCAGGTACTTTCCTACTTGTAATGTATTTATAAAATATTATAATATATAATTTCTGTGACTGATGACAGTGATTTTGACCTCTTAGTGCGTACCCACATCTTCATCAAAGGCCGTGAGGAGCACAGTCAGGTTACGCAAGAGAGACAGTATCATGCGCAACAAACCTCGAAAAAGCAGCTAAACTATGAGTCTGAAGGTAAACATACATTACAGATGAATAAAGTAAATAGGTAAATAATCACATAAATAACTAATAATCTAAGAATATGTTTCTTTCCATTATTGCAGATAAGCAAAAGGAGAATGACAAACTGCGGGAGACTTTGGCAAGAAGAGCCGCAAAACTGGAGCAGAGCAGAAAGGAGTGTGAGATGCTGCGGCAGGACAACATGCAAATGCAAGAGAGACTGGAGTTCATGAGTCAAGAAAATGCTCAACTAAAAGATTCTTTGCTCTGCAGTAAAGAGGAGCTCCTGAGGTACAAACATGGATATATGGCTGAACGTTTTACATGACATCTACACCACTTTAGTGGACTATAAGAGTCGGCAATATTGTATTGTATATTAACATAAGAAGCCCATTCAAATGTGCATTCCTGTGTACCTGAAAGATGGTGACCTATTACCCTCAGTTTACAGGCAGTGGTAAATGAAACCTGGACCATGGCACCACTTTACTTCTAAATATATTTTTCATTTTTAGGCTTCAGCATGAAGTGAAAGTTCAAGGTCAACAGCTAGTGGATTCACACCATCTTCTCCAGTCTTTGCGTGTGGAATTGCAGGTTTATGACAAACTGAAGAGCCAAGGTCTGAAATCTACAGGTACAAAATATGTTTTCAATAAATAGCATTTTAACATGTGCAGGCTATATAAAAAATTAGAATATCATGAAGAAGCTTGACAGCTTCACTCTATGTGTCATGAGTCTATATATAATATGGGTTTGACTTTGGTGAAAATATAGAACTTTTTTCATGATACTCAAATATTTTGAGGTGCTCTGTATTGTTGTTGACCTCTAGTGTTTTTATTATATTTCACAAGAATGATGTTTTCTGTAAACAGAAGATGGGCAGACTGCACATGGGCAAGAGCCTGTGTTTTCAGCGGGCTCAGTGGACCTGGGAGAGCTGATGTCTGAGATCAGAAGTTTGCGACTTCAACTGGAGAAGAGCATCCAGACCAACAACGCCCTGAGACAAAGACTGGAGGAGCAGATCAATCATGGACTCAACCACTCTGAAACCATTAACATCAATTACATGCTTTCCTCTCCAGGTAATATCACTTTACATCATAGGAAAAAAACACACACAGATGGGACAGGCAGGACATAATAGTTTATTTTTTTAATCTTTTACCATAAATGTATCTTAATTAAGTGTTGTTTTTATTATATGTATTGGGGTTCTCTGTTTTATCTTCAACATTTGGTCAGCTGTGGTTGTTTTTGAATGTGCTTTACAAATAAATCTGACTTGACTTGACAATACAGTTTAGAAAAAAACATTTTGTGTTTCAGGTTTTGACAATAGAGATCTAGATTTAGCATAAATTATCTGTTAATGTGAAGAAAAAATTATATTTATGTTACATTTGTTGTAGATGAGGCAACCAGGACTCAAGGTCTGGACAACTTGAATCCTGCTCCTCACAGGCGATATGCTAGAAACATCCATGGTTAATTTTTTTGTTTGTCAGAAATTAAAGATTATTTGTGCTATTCATATTCTTATTATTTTTGTTTTCCAGCTCAAAAACAACAGTCAGTAGTTGATGGAGGATCTTTGAGTAGCAGCTCGATGGACAGTACTGGTGCTCCCTCTCGCCTGGTACCCGGTCACCGGATGTGGGCTAATCGTAATGGCCGTCATATTTTGGGCTTGATTGAAGACTACAGTGCTCTTCGCAAACACATCTCAGAAGGGCGCAAACTTTCCCACAGTATGGACATGCAACTGCAAGAGTGTATACTGTTCTTTAAGGAACAATGTTCAGACAAGGTACTCACATTTATGTGTCTTAAAAATTAAAAATACACATTATACATTACGTGAAACTACCTGATTAGTTTCAGGAACAGAAGCCTCTGAACAGTTTGTGCACTAATATGGGCACACTGCAGCACGTCCTGGAGGAGGCCAACCGTCTGCTTAAACTGTTGTGGCGCGTGTCTCTGCCCGTCAATGCAACAACTGGGGACATGGGTCACAACCAGCAGGTACACTGCTGAATTGAAGAACTGTGAACTGAAGCTGGACCTTGATATATAGACATCCAGACTGATTCATGCTGCTCTTCATTTTAGGATGAGCAGCTGAAACGGGAGATCTCCAGGCTGAAGAACAGAGTGCTACAGCAGGAGAAGATGTTGAGTGGAGCTGTGAAACGTCTTGGAACAACCAATCAACTCAAAGAGGGAATGGAAAGGGTCATCATTGATCAGTGTATGTAATTGTTATTAGACATCCATTTATAAAAGACAGATTATTTTAATTCCCCTCTTTTAATTTAAATGTAGTGTCGTTGACTCATGGGATTTTGAAGAAAGCAAGAGGAAATTTAGAGGTAAGTGTGTTTAGTGTTACTTAAAATACAAAACTGTTTTAATTACATCTGTTAGTAGAGAATCATTCTTACTTCTTATTCTTTATAAAAATATTAGACAAATTATTGTGCCCTTATTGGGCTCAAAGGTCTGTCTGGATCACCAGCTGAAGGTGAGTATAGGGTAGTGATGACTTGGTGCATGAAACTTGTGTGATTTTTTTATTTTTTTTTAATGCATGTACCACTACCATGTATTTTGTGTTCAGACAATTTTACCTACTGTATGCATATGTTTATAATTCTGCATGAGCAGACAAATGTATTGCCCTTTTTACACTGTCCATTTCTGAATCGATTCTTCCTTCCAATATAAACCATCAAGCACCATATCAGGATGATCTTTCTTTGTCCTGGTGCAATGTCTGTTGGAGGTGGTCTGTGTCCATTTGAGGCTGGCTTGTAGCAGCATCAGTCAAAAATATTTTAGTGCAGTTCAAGTGGGGCCCTAGGCCCAAACTTGGCCCTGCTAGTTTTTTTTTTTTTTTATTTAAGGCCAATTTTGGGGGGTTATACAAACACGATTCTGTACTAAAGTTTTCATTCCTCTCACAGGAGATCCCAGTGAATGGCCTGTAGCAGATTTCCAGTCCGATCCAAGAGATGGTCTTGAGACGAGTCAGCACTTTAGACAGAAGAGCTGTAGCTCTCTGCAACTCAGATAAACCTGCTGTCAACTAATCCAGATTCAGTTTTATTTATTTGCTAGAGAAATGATATTCTAGGTACTCATTTTCCTAAATTGTATTTTTAACACAGGATTTTACCATTTTCTTTTAGTGCCTTTGTGTAAATATTACTTTACCCATGTCTCAAGATGCAGTAAGCAATTTCAGTGTTTTCAGTGTGAATCATTTTTAAAGAAAAATAAAATCATTGCTGATAGAAAAGTTGCTTTATTATGACAAATCTAGGCACGTTTTTGGTAGCTTCTTTAAGTGGGTTTAGAAACAATTATAAAAATACAAGTTACATAGGGTGGACAATACAAAAGGAACATTTGTGTATATTTACAGCAACATCAGTCAACTGTTTCTGATGCCCACTGACCTATATAACTAGGCCTTATGAAAATCACTCTAGTCAGCAACTATTAGTTGTAATATGGAAAAAGATACAGAAACATGGTAGTCTACTTGCAGTAAGTCTGTCAAATTACTTAGACATTACTTGCAGTGTTATAGTCTAGACAAAGACAATACATGCGCATCCCAAGTTGCTTTACTTTATGTGACTGACATAAGTTATCTCTGTACAAGTCTGACAAAGGCTTGGACCAGCTGGATAAAAGGCTCCTGTCCCTCATGACTGCTTTTGGGAGTAGCAGCTTTGGTTTGACTCAAAGGAAAACCACTGGCAGGAGAGGAGGGAGAACCTCTACGAAAGTGTCGAGACAAGCTTGATAGAAGTGTACTCTATAAAAGAAAAAAGTATTATATTTGCTGCAAAAAATATATTTTTTCAGTCAAGTGCTTCACCAGGACATTACCAGTTCAGAGCTGAGTTCCTGTTTGAGTCGCTGTTTGTCTCTAGGAGGGATAGAGCTGTCTTTGAGACATCGAACAGCTTGGGAGATCAGCACATAGAAACAGTTCTCCATTGTAAATATAAGCAATGACCTGGAGAGAATACATAAAGTTCAAAATCATTCTCTTTTATTAATAATCTGCTTAAAAGAGCTGCATACTTTAAGGCTTGGATCTCCTCTGATGAAACAAGTGACACAATACTCAAGGAGGCTGGTTCTTTCTTCTTATCCATCTAAAGTAAAAGCTCAGATATAAGCAGAGTAATATTTATGCTTAAATTAATGCTGAAGACTTGCCTCACTCAGGATGCTCAAAGCAACATTAATGGTGGCCAGCAAAGTCCCAAAGGAAGGAGGGACATCTGGGTCAAATGCAGGAGTAGTGAAACTGAGCACAAATAAGATCCTATATTCTGCCAGGTCCATGCACTACGACAAATGCAGAAAAAAAACGTATTATCTTGGTGTACTGTTAGGTTATTGTGTTACATGTGTTAATAGATTAATGACCTGATCCAGAAGGATCTGGCAGCAGTCTGGAGTAAAATGCTGTAGTGTTGCTAATGTCTTGCTGAGGATCTTGAGCAGACTGCACTGAACAGCCAAGAGGGCTTTCTGCTCCACCTCCTCTCTCTCCCCTCCACTGGGTGCGTCTTTAGAGAGGGTCGGAGGCAGCCGGCTAGTCCGTGGGAGGGGACCCGGGGGCAATGCCTCACCATTTTTTGCCTGAGACAAATATATTTAAGGATGGGATAAAAGCAAGCTAGAGGTGGTTATATAAAGGGAACTAACCTGTAGGTAGTGATGGAGCATTTTCTTGCTGTGGAGCAGGTATGTGCACGTCTGACACAGGTAACACAGATTTGTCTGTGGAACACAGTTAGGTGAAGACAGGAGACTACAGCAGTACTAGATCTTTCACTTACCTGTATGTCACTAAGAAGTTTGGGCAAGTGGAACTGCCACTCCTTACAGAAGTTTGAAAGTTGAAGCAAGAAGCCAACAGTGTGATCCGCCTCGTCCAAACAAGCCAAGCTCTGCACTGTTCGAACTGCATTCAGACACTGGAAATGTGCACACAAAAAAAGAATGTAATAACATAATAATCAGATCCTTTTTCAAGCAATTCAGCTTTAAGCTTCTACCTGTAGTATGCGTTCTTGGTGCACTCCAACAAAGTCCAAGGCTTCATTGATGAAAGTGTAACGGAGAGTTTTGAGCAGACTTTCCATCAGGGACATGCACAGACGATAGACACCGGGCCAGCATGCAGAGTCTTGGGACCTGCGTGAGAAACTCTGTACACAAATGATGAATTTATTTATTTTTTTATTGATAGAAGAGTATTTGTTGTATAGCTGTTACTACCTGGGATACAGTAGACACTTCATATACACTGAGGAGAGGCAGACAGATGGTTTGAGTTATGCCAGCACCAGCAACTGCTGCAGCCCCCTGAGGAAAATAAATGTTATAAAGTCAAGAGAGGAATTTGGCAAGATAAATAGCATGGTTCGACTGAATTAAGGACTAGTTACCTGTGGAGTCCGAGCCAATGTTAGCAGCAGATGAAGGGCAGCCTCAGTAAAGTAGAGGTTGTGCTTGGATCTCAGGCTGAGCTCCAGGGCACTGAGAACAGAAGGCAGCACTGGCACTTTCCTCATCACCGAAACCCACTGTTCCCCATCTTCATTACTGCGACACAGTTCCTTTGCTAAATGCAGAGCAAGTACACAAACCTAGGGGAAACAACAGCAAAGCACAAGATGAGAGTTAAAGTCCACCATGTAACGCATAATAGGGCATTAACCCTTAGTGGTTGCTCACCCCGTCTCTCCGATCCTTCTGTTGGCTACGAGGAGAGTCGGTTTCCATACTATCTTCATCATCCAAGCTCTCTCCCGCTTGGCGCAGTAAACGAGTATTGTCAATGAGAGCCAAGGATTCATCTTTTACGGTTTCACAGACGGACAGTAAAAGTTGAGGCAGCAGAGCAATCTCTCCTCCTAGATCATAAGCGACACAGTCAGCTAATGTTAAAAGAATCACATAAATCCATCTTGTACCGTTGAGGCCTTGAATTTGTAGCACAGATATCAGAGCAGAAAAGATTTTGGCTTTGGTCCTCTCCATCATCTGCTGGTCAGCTTGCAGGACACTTTCCAGAATGAGTGAGAGAGGGCAGAGGACATCGGGCGCAGCAGCTACCACACTGGCGAGAGAACAGGTGCTTCACATGTATTCTTGAGAGTATTTGCCAAGTTCACAGGAACTACAAACCTTTTCCACTGTTTGAGGAGAATGAGTAGTAGAGTGGCCATCATGGATCCGAGACGTAGACAAGGTACAGATGTGGGTGTTGTAAGCTAAAGGAGACAGCACGTGTCAAAGTCAAATCAGCCGTGAAAATATAAACAAAAAAACTTCATGACAGTAACTTACTGCAGCTTTAGCTCCATCCAAAACATCCATAAATAGTTTAAGCTTGGTTGAATCCTCAGTTAAATGCATCACTTCAGACTAAAATGTAAAGCAGTTTTAGAACATCTGATACCTTGGACAAAAAGACTTAATTTAACTGTAACATACATGAGTGGTGGAGAGAATAAGCAGCATTCTCCAGGCTGCAATCAACATTTGTGTTTCCGCAAAATAACACACACCCTCCTCCTCCATCTCTGCGACATGGCACACCAGAGATTTGACATAATGAGACCAATACTCGTAGCGCCGACTGTTGGAAAACCTCTGGAGACTATCCTTAAGAGTTTTTTCCAAAGAGCTACTAAAACAAATATAACAAAAGGTATTTTCTTATATTCAAACAAGATATTTTCATTAAAAAACAAAAAACTATTTTGAACATTTTGTCTGCTATTTGTGCTATTACCTCACAACGTAATAGATTTCAAGTCCAAGTATTTTCATGACAAACGCACAAGTCTCAAGCACACAGGGCTACAAACAAAAGTACAGAAAATGGGTCAGGAAATGCACTGTGTATGTTTGAGTAAAAAAGCAAAAATACCTCTGCTGTGTCTGAAGGAGGAGGAAGACTCCCAAATAAGGGCGTGGACAAATTTTCCCAAAACCTTTCCCTAAAACAAGAATTGTAAATTCTCATATTTTGAAATTGCAATTATTTTAAAAATAAAGTAATATTGTGTAAGAGTCTTACTTGGTTCTGAGTACAGAAATGGCACTATCCCTGCGATCTTGCCAGAGAGCGAGAAGAAAGGCCAAAGCTGCTCTGTGGAGTAGAGGTGGACACCAGTATTTTCCTTGCTGTTTTGAGTCAATTAGGTCCAAAACCACATGGAGACAGCTCCATTCTCCCAGGAGAAACTCCTGCCAGAATAAATCAATGTTCTATCAAACACAGTCAGTACTCAAAAAAAGATCAAATCAAGGATGGACCCTCCATCTCAATGTATCAGTGCATCCCAAGATGAAATGTATTGCATTCTCACCTTTGAACCCTCACTACTATCTTTGACTTCTAAGTTAAGAAAGAGTTCGATCAGGCCTGGTTGAGTTTCCACAGCAACAGTAAGAAACTCCAGAATCATGACTTTGATCCTCATGTCTTCTGTTTTGCTCTGCAGTCGTATGAGGAAAGCATCCCGGATAGCTGCAGCGTCGCTACCAAGACAAGCGTAAACTGACATGGGAGCCACCTGTAAGCACAATGTTACTGTAGGCCTGAGTGATATCTCCAAGTACATGCTTTTGGCCTGAATAGAGTACTTACAGTAGCAAGGCGCTTGAGGAGCTGGATGGCAAGTCGAGGTAGTGCTGGGTCATGTTTATGGTAAATGTACTTTGCAAGTACAACTACAAGGTTGTGGCCGTGCCCACCATGTTGTGTCAGAGCTTGCTCAAGAGGCGAGGCCACATCAGTCGGAGGTTTCAGGCGTATTACATTGTTTGTCACAGAGAAAGCCAGTTTCACAGTTTGAATAAGGATCTGGCCTGGACCCTCAGACCCACCACTAGACAAGAGATGACAGTCAAGACATTTCACTTGCAAAATTGAAAAGGCATTATAATAATTAAAAGCTTTTCACCTGCTAGGCTGTGCAGCCAGTACCACATCTATAGTATCCACACCAACTCCCATTATATTGACAATGGCTTGACCAGCCTCAGTGTTTGCCAAACTGTAGATGCATAGGGACTGCAAAGTAGGAGTGCTGAAGAAGAGAGATACTTGTCAACAAATGTTTTTTGTGAAAGTTGGCATGTTTTACATTTAGAATACTACAAGGTCCAAAGTTTAACTTACCTGCCCTGGCTCTCTCCTTCAGGGCTCAGATTGAGAATGCCATGGATAAGTTCCAATATTAGACAGCCTGTCAATAGTTTGATTTGTTATTATTTACATTATAGAATACACTTGTTGATAGTTTGAAAAATAATAACTACTCACCAATTCTCTCACGTACTCCATAGGTGTTATATCGCCACTTGTGATAAGTGGGGAGCATTTCCTTTAGCACCAACAGCACACAAGGTATTAGACCACTGTTCTGTGTGCTTCCAAGCTGACCCTAAAAAAAGTGTGGATGAATAAAAACCCCAGTAACAGTGAGCCTATAAATGTTATAAAACTGTTGCAAGAAACCTTAACTAGAGTTGTAATAAGTCGTAGAAAGGCGATAGTCACAGGATACTCCCCTCTTGGCTGCTCAATCTGAACCAACAGGTTGCCGTAGTTGCCTGCTTTCATCCCCTCAGCACTGCAGAAGTGTTTGTTAGCATTTAAAGATAAAGAGTGATAATGCATTTGGTCATGATAATTTACCTTACACACTGAGCCATGGAGGTCAGTGCATTTGATGCAAATGGTAAAAAACCTGTGTGCTGTAAACTTGACCACACCTAAAAGACAACATTTCAATAAATTATAAAGATAGATATCATAACATATGTCATTTCAAATTACCTTTCCAGGCAACCTTGCAGCCAAAACAGACAGGCAGTTGACACATGATGCAATTACATCTACTGGGGGACTAATGACTGATGTCAATCTGGAATGAAAATAATGGTCACAATCATAATGTGTAGTATTTTTAAGTACTCAAATTCACATATGGATACCACTTTACCTCTGTAAAAGCATGTAGATGCGGGAAGTGAGCGGGAGAAGACAGTCTGACACAGACCAATCTGTGCTTATGATTTTATGGACTAGGTCTAGGATCGGCTTCACACGAGTACAATGCGAAAGAACATCTAGTAAAAAATACAAATAAAAGTATAACAGATGTAATAACCTTACTGATATTCAAAACACCATACCTGCAGTGGAAACAACATGGAGCAGCATCTCCACCTCACATGTGAACAGAGCCCAGGCACTGTAGGAATAGTCCCAGCGCACCACATAGTCCTGCTCAGGCCTCATCAGGACCTGGCCTCGCACACCCTGAGGTAGCCACAGGTTTGTCTGCCCAGAGCCTATTGGCGCACACACATTCATTATTAGGGAAATTAACATGACTACTTGAATCACTTAGGGCCATCAAGGAGAACACCAACCAAGAGGATAAAGCAGTTTTGGTGTCCTCCTTCTCCACAGTGTTTCATCATCCTGGGCGATTATGTCATTGGGTTTATGTTTGTGAATTTCTGTGTACAATGACATCTTATCTAAAAAGTTGTAAACCTGTGGGTCAAAAGCAAGAAACATACATTTAATTTATGTTATAACTATTATAACTATAGAGCAGTGTGATCAATAGAATACATGAACAAACAAAAAAAGTGTCTACCTTTTTGACGGTAGTCTTGTTTGAAAGAAGAGCAGTTAATAGTTGCAACAAAGGTGCAATTTTGTGAGGAAACATCCCAACCGCACTGTCCAAAATCATCCCCATTCCCATGTTAGGCTTCTGAAAGAGAAATGTGAAATTAACCAATTAATAAAAAATTAAAAATCCAGCTGACCATTGCAAATTTGGAGGTATTATTATTATCATTATTATTATTATTACGCGTGAGTGCCAGAAGCTGGTGAAGGGCCTATTAGTATCGCACACAGCGATGCTCCTAGTGGCTGGAAAATTAAATGGCGCAATGTGACTCGCCTGTAGTGACCAGGGAGCCTCGCCATGACGTAGCAATGCACCAGAGGTTTCCGAAAATGTATAGTTTGCTGGCCAAAAAAAGCGGAACATTGTTTTCGTATCAGAATACAGTCCCTAACAAAAGTCTTGTCGCTTATCCATTTTGTAGAAACAAAAGCTTATAACTTGACTTAAAATTAATCGATTGGTTTTAGAAATGTCTCATATGAAAGCTAAAACCCTCCCAAATTATGCTCAATATACTAAAATAAATTTGCTTCACTGCAGAAAGATTGATCATTTAATGAACACAGAAAGGTCAGATTTTGGCAAGACAAAAATCTTATCGTCTTGTCATATGATGCACCCAATCCTAGATTACAGCCTTACCTTTGATCAGTTACTGATCAATCAATTAGTGGGTGTGTATAAAAAGAACCCCAGCACACCAGACCTTCACATCAACTGCAACTTGACCTCTGACAACATGCCTAAGATCCACTGTCAGACCAAAGCGTTAATTATCAAGAGGCTGAAGACCAGATCCACTGCTGAGGTGGCTGACACCTTCAATGTGTCTCAGTGTGAAGTACAAAAGAATAAGAAAAAGATCTGAAATGACTGGAGATGTTTTTGACAAGCCCAGGTCCGGCAGACGCCGCAAGACAACTGCTCAGGAGGCCCGTTTGTTGATTTGAAAATCCACAGCCAACCCCTTTTCCACTGCAGCAGATCTCCACCAGGCCTGGTCACCTCAAGTCCCTGTGTCAACCAGAACAGTTTGTAGAATTCTGTCTCGAAATGGCCTCCATGGTCAAATCAGAGCACAGAAACCAGCACTAAACAAAAGGCAATAAAAAAATGTGTGGCATTTGCCAAGGCCTACAGCCTGCTAAAAGGATGGACACTGGAAAAGTGGCAGAAGGTGGATTTTTCAGATGAATCCTCGGTTGAATTACATCACAGCCGCCGCAAATAATGCAGGAGACCTACTGGAGCCCTCATGGATCCAAAATTCACCCAGAAAACAGTTAAGTTTGGTGGCGGAAAAATCATGGTCTGTGTTCCATCCAGTATGGGGGGTGTGCAAGACATTTGCAGGGTGGAAGGCAATATCAATAGCCTAAAATATCAAGAAGTATTAGCTACCTCTTACGTTCCCAACCATAAAAGGGGTCAAATTTTGCAGCAGGATGGTGCTCCATCGCAAACTTCTATCTCTACATCAAAGTTTCTCAAGGAGAAGAAGATCAAGGTGCTCCAGGACATGTCACCAGACATGAACATCATTGAGTATGTCTGGGGTGGAATGAAAGAGGAAGCATGAAGGCAAAACCAAAGAATCTTGATGAACTCTGGGAGGCATGTAAGACTGCTTTCTTTGCTATTCCTGATGACTTCATCAACAAATTGGATGAATCATTGTCGATCCGCATGGATGCAGTCCTTCAAGCTCATGGAAGTCATACAAGATATTAAATATGGATCTCACAGCACCACTACTTAATTCACTGACGTTATGTAACATATTTGTATTTGAAGTAGGGATGGGCATTTGATGATTCTTATTCGATCGTCGAGAGAATTAACGATCGATTATCGATTAATCATTAACGTTTTTATATTAAAATGATGATCATTATTATTATTATCTGCACTCCTAATCTGCATAACTAAATTCAATTTTACGACAAATAAACCGTAACCACTCTAGAGCCACATCAGCCCGTTTATTATAATGTGTTTAATTCAGTTTTGCGCAACTCTCACAGAAACGAAACTTAAAACCGCATCGCTAATTTGCATAAACTAAGCGAAGATAAAAAATACAGCTCTTGTGTCGCTGATGCGGTCAACTTCTGTCGGATTAAAAGACATGACTCAGTGGAATACAGGTTAGTGTGACCATATTTGCGTTTGTCAAAACCAGGACACCGTACGGGAGGTGGGAGGCTGGGACTCGTCATCGACATTGCGCGTCTCTCACCTGGCAAAGCTTTTTCCCACTGGACACTGAAACATATGTGCTGCTTTATACACTGTGCACATGGACTCACACTTGTCCCGACCGGAACGCAAAGTGTGGAATTTCTTGTACAAGTCATCGTTAAATACGCATATGCACTTCGGTACGTTGCAGGCGGACTGTTTGTGTTTGCTCGCTCCTTCTGAGTGCAGAGAGACACATGTACAGATCCCCGTTTGGTCACGCTACGCACAGCAACCTACATTCGGTTTGTCGATTAAAATTTACGTAATCGATGAAATTCTTAATGATCAATTATCGATAGTATTAACCGACTAATCATGCCCATCCCTAATTTGAAGTAAATTATTTGTTCAATTTTCTGTAGGCGACAAAACTTTTGTCTTGCCAAAATCTGACCTTTCTGTGTTCATTAAATGATCAATCTTTCTTCAGTGAAGCAAATTTGTTTTAGTATATTGAGCATAATTTGGGAGGGTTTTGGCTTTCATATGAGACATTTCTAAAACCAATCGATTAATTTAAAGTCAGGTTATAAGCTTTTGTTTCTACAAAATGGATAAGCGACAAGACTTGTGTCAGGGACTGTATTATTCTTTCTTTCTTGTTATTTTTCTGCTAACCAACTCACCCATTTTTCACCCACTGAACAATGATGAAAAGTACTGAAATATTGCCAACTGTTAAAACTCGCGCTTCTCTAACTTTTAGCTATTTCCATTTTCCATAAATAAATAGAATGGCTCATCAGTGCCCCCAAACAACTCAAAAATGCATTAGGGAATAGGAATGAGGGCAAAAAATTTGCATGTACAATCATGAAATTTGACACAAAAGTTGATCACGTCAAGACAAGGAAAAAAACTACACCAACACCGTGCGCTCCACTAGGGGGCAGCAATATTGGATTCAACTTTGCTAAACGTTTACGAACTCCTCCGAGGGCGTTCACCCGAACGAGCGCAAATTTGGTCCACATTATCTCAAGAGGTGGAACATCAAACGTTATCCACATTTTTCACACACACATCTTACGGTCTCTGAGCAGTGAAGCAACAATAAATGCACACAACCCAAAACATGCTACATAGGTCTCCAAGAACAGTTAATAGTCAAGGTCAATTAAATACAATCAATGAACCTGTCCAGGGCACTGGTGCTAGTGGATAGACCCTTCACCCACATTGCCTAGTATGAAAGTGGTGCGTGCGTGAGTGACGGTGGTGGTCGGAGGGACCGATGGCGCGGATTCTCATGGCAGCCGCGCCTCTGTCAGTCTGCAACAGGGCAGTTGTGGCTACAACAGTAGCTGACCATCACCAGGTATAGAGTGAATGAATAATATATGCTGAATGTAATGCTCTGTAAAGCGTCTTTGTGACAAAAATGTCTGTAAAAACGCTATATAAATGGGGACTAAATGGGGACTCACAATTTTGGAAATTTACAAATTGCTTCCATTTGCTCAAACGAACTCCGATTTCAGCGAAATTTGAATCAGTTGTTAAACTCTCTGCCCTTAAGCTACTTAATGTGATTTTTTTTTGTTTTGTTGCATTAGCGCCCCATATAGATTGAAACTAAATTTAATATGGGAGAAAAAAAATTTTCCCAAATAGTTGTTCAAAAAATTCTGAAATTTTGCACAAAATCCCATTTTGGCATCCCAATCCAAAAGTCAATAACACTCATGCCATATTTTTTATGCCGCTGCCATAGCAATGATATAAACTCTCCATGTTATTCCATTGGTAAAATTGACAAATTGCACAAACTTTGGCTGATTTCACTCAAAATTTAATCGTGGGTTCAAACCCTGACCCTGAACAGATTGATGTAAGTAAAGTGGGTGCAATAGCGCCCCCTAGAAAATTAGTATGGAAAAATAAGGTTTTATGTGTCATAGATATACAAAATTTGGTCTCCACATTTGTGACATGGTGTTGATTAAAAAACTAAAAACACCCCTTTCACATTATGTTGCCATGGAAACAAGCCAAAATTCTGTCCTTGCCAATGGGACGTCCTTACACAAACTTTGGTGTAGTCAAACCAAATTTGGTAGCCAGATGCATCATGGCAATAGGAGCAAAAATGTATATTGTGACTACGCCCCTTTAAAACCGTAAGTCCGCCATCTTCGAATTTTTATTATTTTTTTTACACATGTAAACATTTTGAAAAATTAATGGGTTAGGTTAAGAGTTAAGGTTAGGGTTGGGTCTATGGTTAGGATTACGACTAGGATTAGGTTTAAGATTACAGTTATTACTGTGAGTAAGGGGCGGTGTTTTATGGGATGCGGTTTGCAGGACGCGGTGTTTGCAGGACACGGTGTACACGCACGCGAGGGCCAATCATTGCCGCTTGTGGCTATATTATTATCATTATCATTATCATTATTAGTCAGTTAGTCAAAT